ATGTTGAAGCAAGAAGAAATAAAATGAAAATGCTTTGTATATGTAACAGCTGGTAGTAAAAGCAGAGAAACGTTTATGTAATTTGTCTGTTAATAGAATTAGTTCTTGGAGAGCTTTAACAGTTTTAGAAGTAGCAGATGTGTTTGTGTTTTTTTTGTAGTTGAAGTCAGAAGACTGAAAATACTACTTTTTAAAATATTTAAATTTTCTTCCATCTCCTGCGTAGTTTCACAGCTTTCACCAAACCAGCAATTGGATGTTGCAAGGTGGGAAACAATCACAGCAAGATGGAAAGGATGCTCCTGGCGCTCGGATCAAGATGATTGCTGGTTTTGTGCCTCATCAGTCTGGGCCTGGAGCGTGGCTTGAGACTTCTCAGTCCTGGTTTGGCTTTCTCTGGAACTGGTGTATATATGGAGATCTATGTTTTATTTGTTGTTTGTCTTTTCCCACAATGCTACCACAGGTGTAGCTTTCAGCTAGTCTGGGAGATATGCTAGGATCATTGATTATATATTTAAGATAGAACTTGTTTTAAGGTGTTGATGATTCATAAGAAATGCGTGGTTGTCCTGGTTTAGCACCCTGTTCTGCACCCTGTTGTCTCTTCTCTAAAGCAGAAATCATAATTAAAAAGAGAAAAACAACCCATACCAGCAAATTAAATTATAATTATTTATTGTTAAACACAAATTTAAATCTGATGATTGTTTGCCTGCATAATTATTTGTCCCAAATATTATTTTATATTGAAAAGACTTTGGAGGATTGTTTGTGATTTATTTTTTTTTAAGAAAATGAGATATGCAGTTACGTCGTGCTGTGTAAATAACTGTCTATTCCAATACTTGTCAAGTTTCGATAAAATTTTTGTTCATGTATCTCATGATCTCAGTAAAGTATTTCTCATATTACTCTCTGAGCTAATGATTATTTGTGTTTGTAGATGAGGTATTCAAGCAGATCAGGTAACATGTCTGTGCTCACATTAAGTCTGTTCTACAGTTGGAAATTCATCCTGATTCCTCTAAAATCCTTGGCTGTCAGCCTAACCACTTAAAGTTTACTTCCCCTGAGATAAAGCCACCCTAAACCAGTTTTAAGCTGTATTTAAGCCCTCTGACATACTGTAAGAGATAATACAGCTTTTGACTTCTTACTTTTCTGCTGTTTTGGGATACTCATTATTGAGGGACTGGAAGGGGATAGATAGATCTCTAGATTCCTGCTGAAATCCACATATGAGCTGGAAGCTGCATGTACTGTGCATCTCTCCTTCATGCACTTCAAAGATGAAATAGGGGCTGTAGATGTAACTTATAATGAAACCCATTTACAATATTACCCACTTATTCTATGTTTGATTTTTTTTTTAACCTTAAAACTTGTAGTAATAAAGGTTTTGTGAATAAAGAACTGCCTGTGTTGCACAGGAATGACTTCACTCATCCTGTTAAATATGTTTCCTGAATTGATCTGTTAACCTCTGGTGCTGCAGTTGTTCCTAAAGAAGGACATGCCATTGCTTGTTTAGTAGCTTGCATCATGTTGACAAGGGAGAAAGGCATATGATTCTGCATTAAAGCAAATATGGCTCATATGAGTTTATTGCACAAAATTTTTAATACTATTGTGTGAAATGATATGGTTTTAAAGAGTGTAAGATTTATTTTCTTTTACTTGAAAAATGAAAAACGTCTCATTTAAAAAATAATACTTTCTTCTCTCCCCTCTAAACACACACTTCTAATGTGCTTTTTTGTACAAATGGTCATGATGGGTTTGATTGTTTAAGACTGCATTGTATGTGGTTGGTCCGCCTGGCTGTTTGCCAGCAAACTGGAGTGGTACCCCGTGAGCAGAGCATGGTCGCACATGTGACAAGGACTTGACCTGACAGTTGTAGTTGTGCAATGTGTGGAGGCTTAGAGCAACAAAGAGGGGCATGAGGGACTGCAGAGCAGAGACCTGCAATGTTCTTGCTTCCTCTGCAGCAAAAAATGTGTTAATGCTTTTGTCAAGGAAACCTGAAAAGCTGTTTTCTCCTTTGTCTCTATCCTGTTTTACTTGAGACTGTCAAGATGTGGAGCCGTTTGTATTTTTACTTTGTTTGAAACACTGACAAACCAACTTCAGTTTTGTGAGGGACATATCCATTGTGAGGGACCTTCATTACTGTTGGAAGACATTTCATTTGTGTTTAGTCTGTTATTTTGCATTTCAGAATTAAAATGTTTGCATTTTGGACTGTTGAACTACTGCCCTGTGCTTTGCTGTAGATTGGCACAGAATGTTCTTCTTTCATCACTAGTTTAAAGCTTTTAATATAACTGTACAACTTTGCGAACAGTTATTGATTTCTTCAGGAATGTAGTGAACTATTTCTAATCTCGTCAACACTGAGAGGAAGTACATCATGCAAGTATATGAGAGCTTGTAGTTGCATGTCTGATCTGCTGCATGGTACAAATGATATGAGAGGCGCTGAGTAGGTTTTATTTGGTTCAGTCTTGAAGACTGCTCTGTACTGTTTTCTTCTGCATAGTATGTTCTCTGTAAATGCTGTAAAAGAAGTTGAAAGTGACTACCATAACTGAGTTGGGAGTGTATAAAATCAAAGTGTGCTATGTGGAATAAGGTAACCAAACAGCTAAACAGAAAGAAGGTCTGTGAATGGTTTTGAGGGTAATTTAATTAATCTGTTAATTAGCAAAAAAAAGGGGGGGTTGTCTTTTTTGCTTATAAGCAGACATATGGTTGCTGCTTTTATTTTCATAGTGGTGTAGTGGTTGGAACTCAGATAATCTACTGAATTTCTTATTACATGCTCTACTCCTGCATCATTTTGTTCTTAAAAAATGTCAAGAATTATTACCTAGAGGGTTAGAGTTTGCAGCTTGTTTGTCTGTTTGTCATGTAGTAAGGAAATTTCAGCTCAATTTGTTTGTTATTATCAGTTATCCAAGCACTTAGGTATTTCTTTAGTAATGGAGAGGAGTTTCCCCTTTCCATGAGCATACAGAAAATTAAGTTTTGTGGTTTTGACGGATCTGTATTCCTTTACAGCAGAATACCTGGACTCTTGTAGCTAACCAGGTGCTAAAGCCTCATCCTCTTACAGAAATAGTGTCATGTGTGAGATTACATGGCTTTTTCTTGCAATGTACTTATGTCAGTGTAGTCTGTGTCCATTGCTTACAGTATTGCTGGTGTGCTTCAGGACTGTAATGTGGGCAGGTAAGCCATATCTGCTAGAGGTGAGGAGACCAGTGGTGGATGAATTTCATCCTTGACAGCAGCTCCTCTGGCTGCTGTGCATTGCTGCTGCATTCAAAAGCTCACACACATCACCTTTGGCTCTTGGAGTCAGTTTGCTTGCAAACAGGAGGAGCAAATGGAGTTGGTGTCAGGTGTCTCTTACCTGCTTCTGCCCTGTTAGCAAGAGCAGCACCTGAAATGTGGGAAGAAAGAGGTGGAGAATTAAGAGATGCAGCTAAGTATCTCATATGGGCAGTGAGCAATAGTAGGAAGAATGTGAGACACTGCAAGAGAATGCAAGAGAAAATGCAAATAACAGCTGAGGGGAAGGAATGACCTGAATTTGAAAGGAAATGGCTGTGAGGAATGTGTGTGTATATCTGAACAATAGCATTCATGGAAAACATTCGTGTTTTTATCAGCAACAGCATTAAAGATGGCAGTTGTAGATGCCTATGAAGTCAGGTCCAAGTTTGTTGTTCAATTTTAACAGGAAAAAGAATCACTTTTGTAGAAGGAGTGGCCTCTTGTATTCAAGCAACTGAATATTATTGCGGTTTAAAAGCTTTTAAAATGCAGACTTTTAATTGCTGCTGGGTGAGTGACAGTAAGTTCTTTTGCATTTGATTTACCTGTGTCAGTACAACACTGAATGGTGGATTAAATAGAGAGGACTGAAGAGAAAGTGGAAAAGAAAATCACTGCACACTAGGATTTAAAATAAAACTAAAGAAAAAAAAGACTCCATAGTGGAGATTAGGAATTGTACAACTTATATGGAAACCTTTGTATTTGAGAGTTGTGAGGGGTTTATGGGACAAGATCAAGACCCTTGTGTTCCTCCAGAACAGGTTCTCGTGAACTTCTGTTAGTTCATGCTTCTGAGAGTTTGTGACATAGCTCAAAAGCAGCTGAGAGGTCTATTTCTGTTTATAGTTCTATAGACCTGGGAGAGCCTTACCTGAAGAGTACACGGGATTCCAGGAGCTCTTGTTTGTCTGAATTTGACATTCCTTTGACAAGGAAAATTTGAATCTAAGAGCTTTCAATGAGTTATTGCCACTATGGTTTGGCTTCAGTATTTTAGTTTTTGCCTTGTCACCTCCTTAAAGTGTGTCTCTTTAGTCTGTTGCAGGCTCTTGTTTTTAATAAGCTTGTATCATTTTCTGTTCACAGTCAAAATGCTTTGGAAACAACCATCTGTTAGACATACTAATTGGCTAGTTTTTGAGAGAAGTCCTCAGCAATGCTTTGGTTTCTTCAGAGATGGATTTAAATGCAAAGGCCCAAAAATAGATTAATCCCTTCTGTTGTTGTCTTCTGGGTGTTTTACTTTATATTTTACTACCCAGTTGTGTCTTAACCTGTGATATCAAAAGATCTCTCCCAGATCCCATCATCTAGGAGAGAGATAACTGAGTTTACCACCTAAAGGCTGCATGTGCCTGTGCTGCAAATAGGGGGCTTGTATATGTTGGAAAACTGCAACAACTGGGTCTAGGGGGACCTATAGGCCAATCTCATCCTTTTCTGCTTGTGAACATAGATTTGGTTAAGGTATTGTTTTAGAGACTGACTGTTCGTAGTCACCATCCTAATTAAGTGTCTGGAGCATTTCTCCCTTCTGTCATGGGTACAGAGGACTGTAGTGAACAGCAGACTATGGGTGTTCAACGGTGTTATTTACATGGAGGTTGTATGTCTCAAACTACCTATGTTAATAATGTTGTTTATTTCTCCAGAGGATGTCATTCCCTGTGGATATATTGAACAATTGCAGTCATGAGGACTTGGAGAGCTCAGCAGAGGACTACCTCTTTGATCTTCGGTGGGGGAAGCTAAGCTGTCCTACATTCTTCTCTCTGCCAGACCACCGCAAAGTAAGAACCAGCAAATACTATAGTCCCAATGTTCTTAATAATAAAAAAAAAAATAAAAAATCACGTAAAAAAAAAAATCTGGGTATCACTGACTGTCTGCTGCTTCTAGGCAGTGGATCTGTATGCATTAAGTATTTTAAAAGAAACCCCAAAACCATAACCTTAAATCTTCAACTGATTATTCAAACCCTTTCCTAAAAAGGACTACCTCATGCAGTCTCAAAAATCTATCATCATCACTAAGGAGTTCATGATTTATTGAAACTGATTGACTCTTTTCGTATCTCAGTCCTTCAGTGTGCTTCATGCTTGGTTTCAATTCTGATTAGTAAGTTTCACTGATTTCAGAAGTGATTCTTTTCTATGTGAAATATTCCCTCCTGTTATTTAACTCTAGTAAAGGCTAGCTGCGACGCTTCTGTGTTTCTTGCATGATAGGTTAGTTGGTTCTGTCCAGATGAACATTTCTATTAGAATTAATACCAATAAAACCAATAGTGTATAGCCTTCATGAAATGTGAAGCTGAGAGGATTCTCTGTGGGACCTAAAGGTCAGTGCTGCAGATGCCTTGGCAGAAGCAGAGTCTTGACTACTTTCCTGCATTTCTGCAGGTACTGTATGCTGAAATAGTTGCTTGAATTAATGTCCTCATTTGTGGCAATAGCCTGTAGTAATCTTCTTAAATTGGTTAAGCAAGTTTATTTACCACACTGTTAATGTCTATTTTTTATGCATTAATTAAATGTTGGAAACATGTGAATTTAAATATCAAAATGCATTTCCAGAAAGGTACTCAATTCCTTAAAGAAGGATTATTTTATCCTTTTCATGTTGTTTGTGAGGGGAAAATTAAGCAGACAAATTCATAATTTCTAAAATGTGTGCAATTTAAGGGAACAAAACCTTTTTGAATCCAGCCTTCCCACCGTAGCGCTTTAGAACTTGTTAACAAACAACAATTTTGCTGTGCCAGTTTATTACTCTGCTTGACTGCTTCATTCTTCTGTTGGCTTTGACAGCTTGCGCAGTTTCAACAGTTGAATAACGTAATGCTGGCTCCTTGCACACCTTACTTCAGTTATGCACACAAATGCAAACTGTTGACAGAACAGAGAAGTAACAGTACAAATTACTGTAGCTAAATCTGCCACAGTGTGAGAGTCAAGCTCTTTGTAATGTAGTCTGTCTTTAGGAAGAAATATCTGAAGTAAGGGCTGGGATCTGGTGCTTGTCCTTTACAGTTGTCTGTTAATGAGTCGATTTTCAACATTCATCTTGTTTACCTTACTAAACATTCTCCGTGTATTTTACTAAGGTTGTTTTAGCAAGAGTCTACTGAATTATTGTACATTCTTGTTTCAGGTTCCTATTAGCTTGTCAACTGTGGGCTATGTTCCTCTGTATGGTGAAGAGCAGACACACAAAGTTCTTGCGCTGTTTGCACCATGGGACTCGCTCACAGGTTTCATTTTAGGTTTTTTATCTCTGTGTTGTTGTTTCTTCTTTTTTTGTGATAAATACATGTAACCAGGCCCTTGCTCATTCCATGCTACTGTAGCTCATAATTTTGGCACTTGTGCATTTGTTGTTCACTGTCTTCTTGTTCACATACTATTATTTTTTGTTGTGAATTCATATATACGAATAATAGAACTTTGCACACTAATCAGAGCAGAACTGGAGTCATTGAATTCAGAAGATATGTAGCAAAACAATGTGGCGCTTGTCTGGATCGTAGTACAACATGTATCTCCTGATCTCTTTATGTACACTTCACCTCTCCAAAAGGAATTTATTGAACATTCTTAGAATCCATTAATTTGCTCGTGAATTTAGATGCTCTTTTTTGATAGTGATTGATCAGCATCAACTGTAAATTATCTTTAGTTTGAGGTCCCAACACAGGTATGGCTAAGATGACATCTCACTGTTTTTTGTGTTCCCTCCCTCCTTCCTTCCCTCCCTCCCTCCCTCCCTCCTCCTTTCCTTCTCTTTCTGTTTAATACCATATATAGGATTGCCATAAATGCCTATGGATCACACTCTTCCTGACTGTTACTCATGTGGCCACATTTTTACATTCATCTGACTCCCTAAAACTTGCACAGTTTCAGTATCAATATCCACTAGCAACCTAAAATATATGTATGAATGAGACTCCCCTTGGCAGGCTCAATTTTTAGTGGGAGGAGGTGCTAGAGCACAGTGTTGAAGGACAGTGCTTATGTCTGGAAAAATAGTTCCTTTATATTATACTGCACGATGTATGCATTTTGGTTTATTATTCTCAGTTATCAATAAAGATTTGGACTAAGGAGCATTTCACATGGGTGGGGTGTATAGCACCACATTTGTTGTGCTAGGGTAGTAAGAGCTACATTAATGTAGTGCCATCTAGAAGATGCTTAACTTGGTTACTACAGTGTTATTCCTGATTATGTAACAGCTTTAGTGATTATGTTTCTTTTGGAATGTAAGAATCACTAACTTTTTATTTCCCTTGTTTCTTTCAAGCTGTAGCCCTGTATCTTGCTGACCAGTGGTGGTCAATTGATGACATTGTGAAAACATCTGTCCCTGCTAGACAGGGGCTTCATCAGGTAAAGCACTCCAACGTTCACTTAGCAATTAATCTTCTACTTCAAGATACGGCAAATAGCTAGTGTGCGAGATACTACATGTTTTCATTTCATTTAGAAATTAGGTGGCTGTTGCAAGTCAAAGGAAATAGAGGAATAGGTAGTACAATCGGAAAAGGAACCTGATAGTGAAAATAGTGTCTAGAGCAAGAGCGACTCTTGTACTGCAGCTTCATATGTAGATTATTTAGATATTAACAGCATTACAAGGTTTTTTTTTTACTCTTTAGAACATTGTTATCTGTTTGTTTTGAAACATCTTAGTAGAGTGGTGCATTTTACCATAGCAGTACCTACTGATCTTATCAGGAGACTAGTAAACCAAAAACATCTTCAGGAATCTGTTTTACAGAAGCAAGTTGAAGCTGGTGGCTTGCATGAAGCTATGGTGAGGCATGCTGGCTATATGTGAGGTCTGGAAAAGTAAGTTGCCTGGTGTCAGCTTTATTGCTCATCATTGACCTTTTTTACCATTATTGACACCAGTGTAGCATGGAGTTATGTTTTTTTCCAAAATTGGAATCTATACTTTTCCAGGATTGTAATTTATATCTGCTGAGGGAATCTGGACACTTATCTTTGATTTTTGCGTTTTTGTATCTTCACTAGAGAATTTGGCTTGCAGCCTTGCTTTTCATGTGTTTCTTAATGGTAAGATGGTGATAAAGTCAGGAAAGCTGAATCTTTTACAGGTGGGGTAGCTGAGACTGAGCACTGGGAAGAGAGCAAGATTGCTCCTTCCTTCACAATGGGTAGAATAGTGGTGAGCTTAAATTTCATATATAAAAGGAACCCTGCAGGTCAGAGAAAAGGATATTGAATTCCTTGTTTCATTCCACAGAAACTGTTGTAACTAGTTTTTTCACTGCATCGTGTCCTGTTGCCTGCCACTCTGTCAGCAGTGATTGAGTGTGCCAAGTCCTGCTACCCTGTGAGGCTCATCATGTCTCCTTTGTAAGACTTTAATTACCTGCTAGCCTAGGAGGTCCGAGGCTGGTGTACTGCTGCTGTGTTTGGTGAATGTTTCTTAAGTCCAAAACTGAGTTAAATCATAACATTCCTACTCCACTGCCCTTCTCCCAGCACTTCTCTCAGCCTTTATGCATTGCATAAAGAGTAACATTGAAGTCATGAAATATCCTCTATGGTAATGATTTAAACTTGACTTATTGCTGTGTCTTCTGAGCATCTCCTTCCCCTCAAACAAACCTCAGAGAGTCATCCTGCTTTAGCACTTACAGCTTTCTTTTACTCCGTCTGCAGCTGTGTTAACTGTCAACTTTGAAAAATAAGGTCTTTGATGTGTGGATATTAACGAATCTGACCGATCTTCTAAAATGTTTTTTCTGTGTTTCCTTAGGTGCAGTCTGTTGGAGAGAGAATTGTTCTCTATGTTCTGAATCGAATTATCTATCGAACGCAAGAAATGGAAGAAAATGAGATCCCATTTCTCTGTCATGGAAGCAGTCACTATGCTAAGATCATGTGGAAAAAAGGAGAGGCTATTGGGTTCTATTCTGTTAAACCTGCAGGTAGGACACTTGAAGACTGTGGGATTTGGGGGGTTAAGTTGTGGAGATAAGGAGCTTATTTGAAGAGTATTGTATGTAGGTTTTACAAGCCTTGCAGGACTAATGAGTTGGTGTTTTCCTCCAATTGTCAGAGGTCAGATTGCTGTTAAGATCTGTAACTTAAATGCTTATATGCTTTAGCAATTTAAGAAAGTTCTTGGATTTCTTCATATTCTACAAAACATATTAGAAAATGAAAAAATTTGATATACCCAAAAGCCTTTTTCTTTCTTTTTCATTTTTTCTGTAGAACAGTTATTTACAGTTGGGTTGGACTGTGCTTATCTTGAGTTATCAAAAGCTTAAGGTGTTTCTTTCTAGACATTATCAATATTTCACCCATGTTTGAGTGTGTGCTGTGTTCTTCAAATGTGTAGTCTACATGGAAGAGTATTGTTCTGGAAACACATGGTTACGAAGAGGTGAAGCTCTTCTGGTATCCCAGAGGGTACACAAGTAATGTAACCTCTCTGCTCAGGTTTTCCTTGTTTGAAAAATGAAGATAATCATACAATGGCTTGCGTTGGGTTTGAAGGAACCTTAAAGACCATTTAGTTCCAACCCCTCTGTCATGGCAGGGACACTTTCTACCAGACCAGGTTGCTCAGGGGCTTATCCAGCATGGCCTTGAACACTTCCAGGGATGGGGCATCCAAAACTTCTTTGGGCAACCTGTTCCAGTGCCTCACCACCCTCACATTTCTTCCTAATATCCAATCTAAACCTACACTCCTTCAGCTGACAGCCCTTACCCATTGTCCTATCACTACAAACTCCTGTGGAAAGTCCCTCTCCAGCTCTCTTGTAGGCCACATTCAGGTACTGAAAGGCTGCAAATAGGTCACACTGGAGCCTTCTCTTCTCCAGGCTGAACAACCCCAACTGTCTTAACCTTTCTTCATAGGAAAGGTCCTCCAGCTTTCTGATCATCTTCCTGGCCCGGAGATAAGGGTCATTGGCTTTAAAAATACAAGGTTCCAAAGACTATATTGTATAGACGAGCTGTATGCTTCTCATTGGCCTTGTTAGAGAAGAGGGAAACTTTTTGGCGTAGTTCACATTGATTCACAGAAAAAGGGCCTGAAAATGGATTGGATAGTTAGTGGACTATCTTAATGCCATTGTATGCCATCCCTTTATCACCACTGAGTTCATAGCTACCCTTGGAATCACAGAATATTCTGAGTTGGAAGGGACCGACAAGGTTCATTAAGTCCAGCTCCTAAGTGAATGGCCCATAGAGGAATCAAACCCACACCCTTGGCATTATTAGCTCCAGGCTCTAACTGGAGTACCTATGTGTTGTGACAGTCTATTCCATCTTTATTAAATTATGGATAATATGTTGTTTTGGGGAGAATTTCAATGTAAAGTCTCCTAGGTTTTTTTGTGTCTTCATTTAAAATATCAGGATTGTTGTTTCAGTCTTTAAATAAGAACTGAATTAGTCTTCAGATTTGTCCTAAGTAATGACGTAATCAACATAAAGGTGCAATTCAAAAATTTTGTTTTCTCCTATTCCCTCCTCCATCTTTCAGCTTCACTTTTAGAACAATTTTCCTATGGAGTTGTATAGTGAGATTTCAAAGTGAGCCTTTCCTTTCTGTCTTGTCTATTCTTTTTGGTACTACAGACTTTTTCTATTGTATTAATCTATTGTTATATCTTGGCAACACTGTGAGGCTTGCCCAAAAGAGACAATAAATTACTGATAAAAATATTTATTTTTAATAAAGTTATAAATTATTTTTATAACTTTATACTACTTACTATTAAATAGTTCGGTATTTTTATAACCTATAAAACTTTTTATTTGAATATGCTAAAATCCATACTGCAGCATGTCAGTCAACATACAGTATGTAACCCATAGTGATGGATATTTTTTTCCTCTTGATTATTTCAGGAAGTGTTTGTAACTCATTTTTTCATCAGAAGTATAAACTGACAGTGCTAGACACAATGTTTGTGAGAAAGAAACATCGTGGGAAAGACTCTGGGCTAATCATGTTGGAAGACTTTGTGGATTCCTTTACTGAAGGGCCTCTTGGCCTACGATACCCACTGTCATCCTTTGTGTATACAGGTGAGCTCTTTAATTTATTCTTCTTTGTGGTTTCTTCACATGTCCAGGTGAGTCGTGTCATTCAAGTTCTGTATGTGTGGTCTCATCCTTAGGTTCTATATTAAAGGTTCTGTGCTTTAGAGAGGGCTAAAAATCCTGATTTACTTAAGATGAAGTAGTTCCTCTGCATGAGACTAAGTTATTCAAACTCTGTTGGCTTTCTGCTACTGTGAAGTTTACCGCTGTCATCTTCCCCCCACCAAGCCTGAAGAATGGGCTGAGGTGTTTCTGTGTGTGATCTAATGTATATCTTCTTTGTAGCATCTTTTTCTTGCACACACCTAAGCCTCATGAGGTCATTTAATTCATGCTTTCTCTGAACTTCTGGTCAAAAGGACATACTGGGCTATTTTTTAACTTATGTATCAGAAGGCACAGATCTAAAATACAAAGAAAACACTTATGGTTCTGCCATTAGCAACCTAAGAGAGCTATGTCATGTAGGAAATGACATGGATTGTGGAAACTATGTTCTTGGGACTGTGTTCAGGCAAGAAGTACATTTCTTTTACCCTATTTTTGTCTGGCTTTCTTAACTACTGGAAATTTTCTGATTTTCCAACTACCACTGTCTGTTGCTGGATCTGATAAGACCTGATTTGTTAGGCTTCAAACAGGAAAATGATTTGAGCAGAATTCGATGACTAATTCTTTTCCATAGTCAAGAAATTATACAGTGGGGATCTTGTGTGCTGAGAGTATGCATCAGTAGGGAAATAGGTGAAAAGTGGTAATTTTCCTGGCAACTGCTACAGAATAATGACAAAGTGTGCAACTTCACCTCTATGTTTAATACACATATAGCGAGAAAAGAGGGGGAAGGAGAGCAGAGTGGAAAATATTCTAGAAGTGAACAATGAGTGGATGGTTAACTATGCAATGGTAACATGTTAACATTCCCAGAGTGCTTTTCACCAGTGCCTATAATAAAGTGGGGTAACAAAAATAACTCGACTACATCATGTGCTTAAGAACTCTTCCATCCTGAGTTGAGTCTTGTGATTGGCAGGAACAGTGACAGTGAAGTTGCAAAACTCTTGAGTGGGTACCTAGAGAAGAAGAAAAACCCATCCATCTTTGTTTGCAGATAATAATGGAAATATTTAAACATGAAGAAAGGATAAATTGAGAAGGATCAGTAGGGTAAAGCAATATTATGTTTATTTCAGACTTGACTGTTTTGTTAAGCAGTTCTTTCTGTATTTGTTTATGTGTATGACAGTAGATTGCAAAATAATTTGATTTCAGATAAAATATAAAAACTGAGCCACAACTGAGTATGTAGTGTCTATAATATAGTGGTTTTTCTTATGTTTGCTCAGCTTGTAAGCAGTATCTTGAGAAGTACCCTGCAGATAAAAACCTTTTGTGGCAAGTGGAGGGAGCAGGATGTTGGTTCCAAAGAAAGTCTATTATGTCTATAGTGCAAAAGGAAAATCTCAAAATTGCAGGTATGGATACTTTGTTTTTTCATTCTCTGACACTTTTAAAAATTGGACAAACACTCTACAAGTACAAGAGTGACTTCTGTGAACACTGTCTGTGGAAACTAACAGAAAGATTTTTATTTGTCCTGAGACCTGTGAGATTATGTCCTTGACACAGGGTGAACATTACTTAGCAACAACTAAAACAGTGTTTTATCAACATTATTCTCATAGTAAATTTAAAACACAGCACTGTACCAGCTACTAAGAAGAAAATTAACTCTATCCGACCTGAAAGCAGGATAGCATGCAGTCCTTATTTTTTGTATCATTTACATCATGCCCAGGTTCCACGCTTTCCAATACACCGTCACCTTTCCTATCTTTTGATATATAAATACACATCACACACCTCTATCATTCCTTTAGTCTATGGGCCATCTCTATAAAATGTCCATTGAGTTAATTTAGTCCATGATTTTGGAGTCCACCTGTCATAACAGTCTTTCAGGGCAGAAAAGATGGTGTGTGTCATGGTGTCATGTTGGATTGTTGCATGCTGAAGCCAGTTCCATCACCACTACACTTGTCTGGTTTTCCTGTAGTTCATTCTTCATTGATCTGACTGATTTTTACTGTAATACCCTTGATATGACAGTTGAAAGGCAATCAGTTTCAGATCCCCAAATTCAGAGCGGTGAAGACAGGTGCTGTGAGGTGCCCAGTGCAGTGATGGGCATATAACCACCATAGAAGAGACAATATACAGTGTTATGTAGCAATCAACATCATAGAATTTATTGGCTACTCTCACACAAAATCAAATTCCCTTGAGGTATGCAGTGGACTTACCCATCCAAGTGCACCCATGTCCTTGTGTAATTCCACAAATATGTTTGCCTTTGCCTGAGACAGGAATAGCCCAGATTATTTATGTGCACTACGGGAACTTTATCCCTTTCTACAGTGTGTAAAATTTTGATCAAGCAGGGCCAGACTGACTGGCAGATCCCCTTACCAGGTGTCTTTTGCTACATGTATGTCCTGATGTTTGAAGGTCCTGTTACTCATTTCTCCTGGATAAATTGATAACAATTCATTGTATCATTTCATTTTTCTGAAAGCTGGTGCGTGGTAGGGTGTGTGATATTCCCACTCATGGGACTTTGGCCCAGTTGTCTATGGGGTTGTTTAGGAAATGAATCCTCCTGTCTGATTCTGTTCTTTCTGGGGCACTCTGTCACTATAAGACATTTTCTTAAGGCCCGGTGTTCCAGGTGGTGGCATGAGGCAGAGGATATGTTCTCACCCTTCTAGTGGTTCCACCATTATAAGCACTTACCCTGACTGGTTTGGGAAAGTGCGATATAGTCAATTTGCCCAGCCTCTCCATATTTATATTTCAGCCATCATTCTCTGTGCTACAGAGGTTTTAATCACTTGGTGTGTTTAACTGCAGTGCATGTTTCACATTTATGGGTAACCTGTGCAATAGTGTCCATGGTCAAGTCTGCCCCTGGGTCATGTGCCCATCTGTAATTTGCATCTCTTCCTTGATTACCTGAGGTGTCATGGACCCACCAAGCTGGAAATAATTATGTTGCCAGTCCTGATCTATGTGAGCCACTTCAATCTTAGCAGCCTGATGCATCTGCTGATTGTTCTGATGTTCTTCAGTGGCCTGACTCTTGGGTATATGAGCCTCTACTTTCACAACCACAATGCTGTTCACCTACACAGCATTATCTTGCTGCAGTGTGGCAGCTCAGATGTGCTGCCAGTTGCTGCTAGTTGCTGCAACCACCTCCACAGGGCATTTGGCGCTACCCATGAGGCAGTATAGAGCTAAGGTATTGGCCATTTTTCTCATTCAGAAATGATTCAAGTCAGCTGGATTGCCTTCACCTCTGCAGTCTGTATTTACCTTCTCCTTCAGCAGTTTCCGTGACTTGTTGTAGTGGACTCCATCACTAATCCTTTCCTACAAATGTGGCAGAATCTATCAATAAACAAGGCATATTGCTTCTTATTTCCTGGCAATTTAATATACAGTGGGGCCTCTTCAGTATGTGTCACCTTCTCCTCTGGTGACATTCTGAAGTCTTTTCTGGACAATCCATGAACACTTTCAAGATTCTTGGATAACTGCAGTTTCCTATTTGGGCTTATTGTTTGATAATTGATTGACCCACTCCATGCAGCATCAGTTGCATGATGTGTGTAGAGGAGACCCTTCCTTTAAACATTCCACCCAGCATAGGCAACCAGGGTGCCAGGAGGAGCTGTGCCTAAATACCAGTCCCTTCTGAAGCAGCTTGAACCCATTTGTATGCTGCCACTGTCTCTTCTTCAGTTGGAATATGGTGGGCTTCCTGTCTTCTGTGTCCCTAACTCCAAAAACTTAGGGGTCAACCTGAAGTCTCTCCTGATGCTTTCTCCCAGAAGCTCCAGGCAGGACCATTCTCCCTGGCTGTAGAGTAGAGCACAGTTTTTATATCTTGCCCTGGTGTAGCTGGCCCAAGGGCTACAGCATGAACTGTTTTCTGTTTGGTTGGTTCAAGGTCATTGCCCAGGGCCCTATTTAAAATAGTTCTTCTTCTGGATCACTTGACAGAGAGGGCTGACAATCAGACTGTCATTTAGAACGTGTGTTCTCCAAAAATGCACAATACCTAAGAAAGCTTACATTTCCTTTTTACTTGTTGGTGGATACATTTCTATTATTTTGTTGATCAGATCTGTTGCGATCTAATGGCATCCGTCTTGCTGTTTTGTTCCCAAAAACTGGATCACCTGTGCAGGTTCCTTGACCTTACTTTGTTTTATGGCAAAACCATCTTTCTCTCTCCGTAGTGGTCCAGTTGCCGTGGTGACATGAAATGTCTTCCATGAAGAGATAACCCTTTCTTCATGCTTGTCAGGCAACTAAGTGCCATGCCTGCTTGTCCCACCTCAGTAGGGTGGGAAGGAGCATCTGCAAAAAATATAAAACATCTGAGTTGAGACAAGAACAGTTCAGTAATTGAAATAAAATTAAATATAAGCATGATATAATAATAATTGTAATGAACAACAAAACCAGAGAATTAAAACCCAAGAAAGAGAATTGGTGCACAGTCCAGTTGCAGTAATTAGACCCTCCCAATTTATATACTGGGCATGACATTCTGTGGTATGAAATATCCTTTTGGCCAGTTCAGGTCAGGTGTCCTGGCTTTGTCCCCTCTCCAGCTTCTTGTGCACCTGCTCACTGGGAGAGCATGAGAAAAAGTTCCGAAAAGTTCTTGAATTAGGGTAACCATGTTTAGCAGCAACCAAAGCATTGGTGTATTATCAACATTATTCTCATGCAAAATTCAAAACACAGCACTGTGCTAGCTGCTATGAAGAAAAACCCCAGCTGAATGCAGGACAGATGGTTAATTTTTATGTAAAGGTACTATACTTTTCTGTTTCCCCATTTCCTCTTTTAAATCTTTACAGCAGAGGCCTCAAAGAAGGAAAATAACAGTTTGCAAACAGAGGATAAGCTTAGTCAGTCTGCAGTATCTGAAGCAAGTGGACAGAGGACTGAGAGGACTGAGCTAGAAACACAGCTAAATGTAGGTACACAATCTGTTACTTCTTTTTTTTGATTGCGTTGTTACTGAAAAACAAATTGTGAGAAATTGTTTTTGTCCATCTCATTATAACCGAATTGGCTCAAGTTCATACTACATAGAAAAGACAAATGCTTTTATTACTTTGTGTGTGGGTGTAGTGTTTCCCATTGATGTAACATCAATGACTAAGCTGGGATTAAAAATACCTTTATTATGTGTGTGTGGGCAGGTGGGGTTTCCCCGTGAACGTAGAAAGTCTGTGCCTGCAGCTGTCGGGGTCTGTAATTTGAGCTGTTTAATAGCAGATTACGTAAAGGAGATTATTTCAACTGTCTCTGAGATTAAACTGTCTAGAAAGGCTATGTGTAGAGGTGCACATTCACGTTGTAGTTCAGTACAATGGGAAGTGTTAAGTTTGCATGTGTTCTGAGGCCACACAGAATGTGAATGACAAGAATCTGTAGCTCCAAATACCATGGGCATGGATGTGCTTCAGGACTGTCTGTAGTAGTGACATGACCATGCTTTCATAGAAGTCAATGCTTTAATTAAAAATGGGAAATAATGGCTAAATTAATACTCTCAGCTACTAAGATCTAAAGTTAGATTTGGAATGTAAGTCAAATGTCCCTTTTCCTAGTTGAGAAAATTAATATTTTCCAAAGCAAAACTGACAGAAAAGTGTTGATGTTTTCAATCTCTCAATAATCAGAAGCTGTATTTCATTCGTAACAGTTTCTGAAGCATCACCTCTGAGTTCTAGAGTCAGATTCCAATAATAATCCTATCAGCAAAATGATCTAATAAAATGCATGATTTGGTTGTAGAGTAATATGGACATACTTGGAGAAAATAACAGAGTGATAGTAGTTCCTATGATTTTTATCGCTGTGACATAAGAACTAGCCCTTGTCTCTTGGCTCCAAATCCTCATAGTTTGGTAGAATTGCTGGCATCTCTATAGTTGACATCTGCAGTATTTATAAGCAGTTCTGCAATGATTTGAAAACTGATGGACCACCAAAGAAAATAAAACTTCCCACCTTCCCCTAAACCATGAAAAAACATGCCTCAACTTTCACTTTCACCTTTCACTTAGTGCTCCCTATTTTGTGTGTTTTGATGCTAGAATAATTTATTATTAGCTTACAAATTCTTACGTATTTAAAACTCACTTGAAACTATTTCAAATAGCAGAATATAGACTTGTCCACTTTTTGCTGGCCTTCTTGTGTGGTACTGGAAGTGAGGCTGGAAAAGTGAACCAGCATGCTATTATTGCCAGTTCCAGATTATTTCCAGCAGCTAAGAAAGAGCAATGTACATAACTACATTTTAATGTGGACAGCTTGTACCCACTTCACTAAGTGCTGAATCCCCAGCTAACTTGCAGAAAAAAATCCAGGTGTTGGGATGATGTGAAAGAATGAGAGACAAAAGAGCTCTAGGGAGAGGGAACTCTGACTCTTGAGCTGACTACGCATGTAACCTGCGTTACTGCTGATCACTTTTTTTTTTTTTAACATAGCCTGCCATATTCTGTTTCATGTCATGACAAAAATAAAACTGTAGAATATAATACTAGTATAAAAATAAAACTTTGCTGTTAAATTTTGCCACCTACTGTATTGTAGTCCCTTGGGTTCATGAAGAAAGGGGGAACAAACATTAAAAGACTTCTAGCGCTTAATGATGTGTACATTTGTGATAAACAGAATTGTTAAAGAAAAAAACTTGGCAGTATTGTTTATAATGACAGGTCACTTTCAAGTCTTATCTTCTATGTTGGAGAACGGAAGTAAAACACAGAAAAATTAGTCATACATGACATAGAGATAATTCTAAAAAAATTAAGATTTGTTGAGAGATAAGATATAAATTAAGAATTATTGTAGCTGCTGTTCCGTGGGATCATTACAATGAAATAGTGATCTAGAAAGATGTAACCATAGGTAGGAAGATGAAGGTATTTTAGTCAATTCAAAAAATTTTAGAATAACATTAGCTTTGCTTTTGCTTTACAGGCTAACTCGCAAAAAGGTAAAGAATCAACAGCTGTCCATGCAAGCACATCTGAAGGTACAAATAACCTTCATTATCAGTATTGTGGTTAATGTAGATCAGTAGTTTTACAGGCTCTTACAGCTTTCCATCATCCTATAATGATCTGTAAAGTGTATAAAACCACTTTCCTCTAAGTGTATAAAAATGCTTTCCTCTAAGGTGCTGAGGCTCAACTCATAAACCTTCTAGAGGAAATCAGATAAAACTGTTATGCATCTTGATAAAAGTATTATTCAGAAAAAAAGTACCACAATGAAATGCTGTTTTAGTTGGACTCAATTTCTTTAATGAACTATTGGGGGTGGAGAAATTATATGCAGATCTTAAACTGAATTTGTTCAATTGAATTTATTTCGGGGGTTTTTTGGTGTTTTTCTTCTAAGAGCCTTACACAAGTCCTGTTCCTGTCTGGACGCGAAGTGGTCAATTAAAACGTCAGAGTATAAATAAACATAGACAGCAACCTGGATCTGAAACTTCCAAAGGAGATGATGAAAATGCTCTTCCTGCGTCCAAAAGCAGGTACCAGAAGCCTGGATTGTACTGATTTCTTATTTTGTTGCTTGGGCAGTCACAAACTGCATCAGTGTCTCAGAGTGTGCTACTGGTATTTCTGCTGCTTACTTCCTATTTAACTTGCTTGATTTTAAAATTACTGAAAGTAAAGTCTGATATAAGAAAGAAAAGTGAGGCATCATCTGAAAGAGTGACTGCAGCAAAGTGTAATATCTCTGAAAGCTCAGCAGATACTAGAAATAAGAAGTATAGAAATAGAACTAGAAATAGAAGTAAGAAAACAGTGAGGGCTGCAGCTGTTCTGTTACAACTGAGTCTGCGCAATGGTAAAAATATCTGTATTGATACAGCACAGTTTCTTGTGATAATGTAACTGGACTTGTGTCCGCAATGCTGTGTGTGGTCTTTGAAGAGGTGTCCCTTCCTGACTTCTTGTTATGGTGCCATGTTGCAGTAAAATGAAGTCTGACTGTTTATTTTAGGAGTTGATTATTGCTTGTCACTTAATAACAAGGATTATAAGAAACAGTGTTTCTTCAGATAAAGCTCTTTGTTTGTTTATATAAAATTTTAAACCATTATATCTAATCTTATATCCTGAAAAAAAAAATCTCCAGTTTTAAAGTTGTTATCCTGTGGAATAATTGTCAAATGTGGATGTGAAGAGTAGTGTGGCTTGTGTGCCTTAACAGTTCTTACAGGACAGGGCTTGGAGTACTAATTTGCACTGGCTTCCATCTGGAAAGCAAAACTGTGTCTATTTGAGTAAATAAATAGCCTCCTCTTCCCTTACAGGCACACTGCCCACCCCAGCCTGCTCCATGTGTCTCTCCCTGTCATTCTTTTCCAGAGAAACCCACTGCAACCCTGGAAACCTCTTTTGAAGAACCTCAAGACAACCTGATTATTTTCTAGGAAATCACTTAAACTTGTTCCATTAGGTTTCTTCAAACAAAATTAGTTGTGGGTTTTTTACGTGAAGTCAAAGTCTGCAGCTAGACACAGCCTTATTTTTGTGTTTAAACTACTCTGTGGGACTACAGATGCTGTATTGCTGTGCTGCATTGTCAGTGGGCTGCCCTAAGTTGGTTCAAAGAGGCTAAATGGCGCTGTTCAGTGCTGTCACAGCTTGAGTAATGCTTTGCCCTGTTACCACTAATATTTGGTTATGTGAGAGGATTAGCCTTATATTCAATATTGTTAATATTTTTGGGCCTTGCAAAATTAAGCCAGTGAGGTGCTGCTGCTCCTTTGAACAAGATGTGTAATATGGTGGTTTTGAGCAGAGCTAAGAGATATCGTAAAGGCAACAGAATGGGATTTCAGCTTGGTTCTTTCTTTTCATGCACATCAGCAGGTGAAACAGGGTCTTCTATTGGGGATCTTCCTATGGAGTGTCCTCATCTCAAGACTAGCATGTGGGCATAAAACCCCCCAATACTGCCTTTACTATGAGATCACAAAGCAGACTCCTGCAAATCTATTGCATGTGCTTTTTTCTTTTTTTGTATGTGGTAGTTTCAGTTCATCTAAACTTTATCATCTCAAAAGTGAGAACTGAATATTTGAGTTAGTGTTACTACCCATCAGATGCATCAGCATTTCATCTTTAGCTTTTATAATTCCATAATTTTAAACCATTTCTACAGTGTGTCTAGGAGGGGTGGAAGCAGCTGCTGCTTTTCTTACCCCTTTTTGGCTTTCAAATATGTAATGTATTGCTACTTTCTAAATTTAAAATAATAAACTTAAAGAAATTTCTGACTTCTTTCCCATAAAATGGAAGTGAGATAGATATTATCATTTTATAATTGCCAAAGCAATTTTCCTATTGATTTGTTGTGTTTTTTTTCCTAATGAGGAGTTAGCCATTTTTAGATGCCTTTAGTTTTCTTGATTCTCATTTCCTATGGCAAGCATGTGATACTGCACTTTATAAATGGTTGTAGTGGGTTGACCCTGGCTGAATGACAGGTACTCACTAAAGCCGCTCTCTCACTCCCCTCTGCAACTGGATAGAGGAGAGAAAATACAACAAAGGGTTCATGAGCTGAGATAAGGACCAGGAGAGATCACTCACTGATCACCATCATGGGCAAAACAGACTCAAAGTGGGGACATGAATTAAATTTGTTACTAACAGGATCAGAGCAGGAGAGTGAGAAGTAAAATAATCTTAAAAACACCCTCCCCTCACCCCTCCTTCATTCCAAGTTCTGCCTCCTCCCCTCAGAGGCATAGGAGATGGGGAATGGGTGTTACAGTTGGCTCATCACAGGTTGTTTCTACCCCTGCTCACATGGGGTCCTTCCCACAGGACACAGTCCTTCACGAACTTCTCCAGTATGAGTCCATCTCACGGGCAGCAGTTCTTCACAAACTGCTGCAACGCAGGTCACTTCTCCATAGGGTGCAGTCCTTCAGGCACAGACTGCTCCAGTGTGGGTCACTCACAGGGCCACAAGTTCTACCAGGAAAACCTGCTCCAGTGTGCGTTCCTTTTTCCACGGGTCAGCAGGTCCCTGCCAGGACCCTGTTCCAACCTGGGTCACAGCATCCTTCGGGCATCCACCTGCTCCAGCATGGGCTCCTCCACAGGCTCCAGGTGGCTTTCTGCATCCCCATCGTCCTTCATGGACTGCAGGAGCACAGCTGTTTCACCATGGGCTGCAGGGGAAGTTTGACTCTGGCTCCTATAGCACCTTCTCCCTCTCCTTCTCCACTGACCTTGGTGTCTGCTTTGTTGTTCACATGTTCTCACTCTGCTCTTATCTGGCTGCAATTTTCATCTATACAATAACTTCTTTTCCCCTTCTTAAATATCTTATCACAGAGGTGTTACTATCATTCCTGGTTGGCTCGGCCTTGGCCAGTGGTGGATCTGTCCTGGAGCCACTTGTCATTGGCTCTACTGGACATGGGGGAAGCTTCTGGCAGCTTATCACAGAAGCCACCTCTGTAGATCCCCCGCTACCAAAACCTGGCCAGAGAAACCCAATACACTGGTCATGAAAGAATTTCCCTGCTGAGATCACTAAAATTATGTATTAATCTAAAAGATTAAAAGATGTATCTTAATACCTGCTGCAGGCCGGAACTTCTTGCCCACACATCTGAAAGCTCTGAAGACTTGGTAGAAGTACCTAAGGTGGATACTGTTGAGAAGGATGAGGAAATAGTTGTTGAAAACGAGGGCCAGTCTGTGTTAGAAGCGGAGCTACATGTATCGCCCCCTGAGAAACAGAATGAGAAGGAGGTGAGCTGGATGTAATAGCAATAACAGTTTGGAATACAACTACAATTTCTTTTAAATATAGTCCTTGCTGCCTTGATCCATGTGACTATCAACTCTTTGATTTTTTGCACCAATGCTTCATTAAGAAATGTATCTGAGAAGCTTACACTAATATAGAATTAGTTTCAGGGAATATTCCACTGTATCTATTTTGAACAATAGAGTTCATAGAATCTTCAATAAGGTGAATTTCTAGCTTGTCTAGCAACCTAATTTTCTTCATTGATTTCTCCTAATCAGAAATTCCAGAGAACTGGAGTAAGGTCAAGATCTGATCCAGTATCACTAATTAAAAAAAAAAAAAAAAGTATGTGAAGAAGCCAATAGCTAGTCTGCTTCGGTGACTTCTCTTGGCTCTTTCTACTCGTCCCCTTAAAACTTGCCTGTTCTTTTATCTTCGACTTGTTAATAGCTTGAATTTAAATCTCTGAGTACCCTTTGTGCCTAGCAATGCCTCCAAGGTTTTATGTTCTTACTCATGGGTGAGAAAGTCAATCTTATGTTATGTTTGGTTCAAGGGGTGACTTGAGCCTGCATGCGAGATGCATAAAAACTGATTGGCTTGGCACCTAACAGTGTAAGCTATGTAGAAATTTAGTGCAGGTTACAACACCAAGCTACTAGTCTGGTTAAGATAGCTACAATGCATTAAGTTCTGCCTTCTTAGTACACATTTCTAGGTACCTGAGCTATCTGCTTCTCACATTAAGCTGCAAATTTAGGTCACAGGATACACCCACTAGTGCTGGGGAACAATAGCTGGACATAATCTTGACTTAAAAATGTGATTTATTTTTTTAGGAAACTCCATCCGAACCTCTTAATGGTGAGGTAGCAGAAGAAACTGGTAAGACCTCACTTATGGCTGAAGAGGAAACAGCAAATGAAGTTCCGAGTGGCGAGTCAAAATTGCAGTCTGAGAGTCAAGGAAAAGAACCCTTAACGCTGTTTGTTCCATTAATCCTTGAGTCTCCAGCAAAATCTTCAGAAGACACTGTATCAGAAAAGGTGAGATAAATGAAACAAAATGTGAAGTACTTTTTCCTTTAGAGTGTATGTATGTTGCAGGTTTAGGGTTTTTTCTTTTGTTAACAGATAGAAAGTAGCCCCTAATATGATGTGAAATTATTGGGAGAAGCAATTATTAGGCCAGATAATGTAAATCCATAACAACAATATACTAATATTTCTGTTTCAGTATGCAGACATATACATGTGATAACCAAAAAGAAAGATATGTTTGCTACAGTTTGCCTTGGCAGTAATGAAACTGCTGTTTCTCACTAAAATATAAATTGGGTATGAGTGAAAAGCCACGTACTTTTTTTGTCTAGCAATTCTTGCCTGATTAGGTGTACAAGTAATTAATTACTGCTAAAATACCTTTCTAGAACACAAGTTTTTCTGGGTTTTGTTTATAGTGCAAATGCAGATCGTTATATGCTAGCAAAAAATAACTGTATTTATCTAAAATATTTTTTTACCCTTGGGATTAATTTCAGAATGCTTTTACTGTGCCCGAGTACTCCTTTGAGTAATTTGAAAATTGGAGAGTAACTCTGGTTACCAAATGCAAGTCACAAAATAGTCTGTTTCGAAAAGGAGGAAAGGACTGACTTATTGAATGTGTGTGTAGTATTAAAAAATGCTGAATGCCAAAGTGTCCTCTGAGGTCGCTAGCTAAGGGCAATTGTTGTTCAGCCTCTTGTATCTTCAATTAATTGTCACTTTGGTTGTTTTGGCACCCTTTCCCTCAACCTGCAGGTTTTAAATGAAAATGATTCAGAAGTGATGACTGAAGAAGTTACATCAGTAGAGAAGGAGGGCATTGGAGAACAGCAAGAATCTGAAAAGACCACCACTGAAAATGCATCTGCTTCAGCATCAAAGGAGGAGCTCTCTGACAATAGCCTGCCTAACTCTGTGGTAACTGAAGCAGCTGAAGAATCTCTTTCTGAAAACTTACCTGCCTCATTGGAAGTCCAAAATGAGGAAACAGGGCACAACTCACAGGAGGCCCCTGTTGCCTTGAGTCAGAGCTCTTTGATAGTGGTTGAACTTGAGGGTGTTTCCTTTCAGCAGCCTGCTGGACAGGAAGGACAGAAGAACCAGTTGGAAGAGCCCTCAGAAGAGTCTACAGAGCAGACAGATCACTACACGCAGACAGTGGCAGAGAGGGCTGCTGACAGCAGCTCTGAGGAAGCAGAAATTGAGGTACCTGTTGTAGATCGGAGAAACTTGCGAAGAAAGGCCAAAGGCTATAAAGGTCCACCCAAGAAAAAAGGAAAGCCGGCTTAAAAATGAAATATTGATTGTTAATTCATCTATTTATAAGAAAGCTATTTTGTGTAAAACATTAGGGTGTAACTAAACCATATCAGGCACAGGACATGTGTGTTTAAAATTCTGCGTTGGACTTCCTTTTGGGTTCATCACCTTTTCTCAAGATTTAATTTTTAACCACTAGACATTGAACTTCCTTCATAGTAAGAAAGTAAATAGCCAGTCTCCTCCCTTCATAAAGGATACATGCTGAAGAAATACAGTTATGCTATCAAAGGGAACATTGTGTATTTAAGATAGCGGTCTTGGAAGAAAAATGCAGTGCGAAATCCTGGCCCTGTCAAGGTCCCTTAAATTCCCATAGATGGCCATGATACCAGACATCACTCCAGATACTGTTTTTTTTTTAAATAACTTTGTGTTCTCTACTGTGGAGAGAAGCAGAGCAAGAAAAATCCTTCCTTGTTTCTTCCTTCCCAAATCCTTCCCAAAGGTTTCCTCATATGAGATTAAAAGAATGTGAAATTCCATCATTCTAGGTCTCAAAATATACAAGGTGTAGCTCAGTAGATCAACACAACATAAGCATTTATCTTTCATGTGAATGACTTGAAACAGCTGAGTCAGTAGAAACACAGTGCAGTATCTGCCACAGCTGATTCTGGTAATGGATTTCTTGTGTGAAGATTGAGATGCCTATGCCATAAACAATTTGTGGCTTCCAAAGCAAGCATTTTGATAAGCCTAAGTTTTTCCAGAGTGTATGGAGTGTAGACTACATATGAAATCATTTCAACTGCCTTCCTAACTACTTGCATGTGTTGAGTGGATAGTTGATTACTTGTTGCGTTACAGGAAAAGGATATGATAACTTTTGATCTTGTTTTGGTCTGAATGGAAGTGGTTCTTTGTTTTCTCCAAATACTTTGCTAGTGCTGTGGGGTAACTATTAAAATGTTGTGTCTGCCAGATGTGTGACTCTTGAGAACACTGACATTTCAGATGGTTATGACATTCATTAGCGTGACTATTAGTGGGTGTTTCAGCAAATGCTTGTTTGCCAAACTTCCATGCCTTTAGGAATGATCAGGTGATAGCTTGCAAATATTTCTGATTCCCACTTTCTTTTTCTAAGATGAGTGTAATTCCTAGGATGATAGCTTCCCAGTTCACAACTTTTCTTAAAAGCAGCAACCAAACTCTGCTGTTTGCAGACAGAAATAAAACCAGACTTTCCATGCATATTTCCCTTCTGAGGTTCTCCTGACAAACCATATGTTTAACTTATTACACTTACCTAAGTTACTCCTTAGTTCGCTATGTGTTCCTTTCCAGTAAATGAAGCTCCTCTAATAATGGGTTAAAACCTCAAAAATAAAAGAACAATGATTCTAAGAATGGGAAATCACACACCACTTTTTGTTCTGCTTATATGCCTTTTCCAGGGTGAGTGAACTAGTCCTTCACACTGTCTCAAAAATAGAGGTACAACTATTCAAGGTTCACCTGAATAGTTGCAGTGCTGTCTTAACTTTTATCCTTTTATGAAGCTAATATAAGAATCTGGTTTTGGACTTTTATGCTTACAGAGTTTAACTCTATTTATAAGATATTTTAACTATAAGACACATTCATGCTATTTCCTTTAGCTGATGAAATACCATGCTCCTTTTGAATCTGTTAAGAGCAGCTTATAGAAAAAAAAATTTAAAAAATATGCTTTAAAACTAAACTTTAAACTTTAAACCTAAACTTTAAATTTGGAGTGCATGAGATTACTGAGTTAAGTTTGAGTTTCTTGAACTATTGCATGTAGCTATAATATCTTAGCCAAGTACATACAGGTACTCCTTATGAACCCCATCACTGAAAAACATTCAAGATATTTCCTGATTGTGTGCAAACATATTCTGGTGAACGTTAAGCATTTCTAAAACTTATGAAACTTTTTATATAAAGCATATAAGACAAAACTATTGTTATCTTCTGTATGGTTTCTCTTTTACTGCTGAGATTAATTATATTTTAAAAAAGAAGTGGCTAGAAAACACATCTCTTGCATTGCTAAGAATTTGGGATTTGTGAGGACTGGTGGCCTAAAAAAACAATGGTTGTATACAGTATATTGCAATTCATCTTCCATTTTTAGGGTAAGCCTTACTGAAGATGAATCTGCTGAATCCTTCAATTGATACGAATATATCCACTTTCAAAAAGTTAAGGATTCTTTTCCTTATGAAAAGTGAGCTCCAGTTATTTCAGTTACTCCTAGGTGAATTTTTGATATCTGTGTTTATTGTTTATATTCCCAGTGAGGCTGGAAAACTGTTCAGGAGAAGGTAATTTCACTCACCTGGCTTTTACTTTACATGGCTAAGTTGGAATGATTTCAGTTAGATATTTGCATAGTGAGTACAGAAAAAAAACCACAACCAAAAAAACCCCCCCAAAACCAAAACCATAAGTATTACAACATTATGATATTAAGACAGTCTTGGTTTCTAATGAGAACAGTCAAATTTCTGATCTCATTTCAGTGAGTCAGTTTTAAATACTGAACTTAAATTCACATGTTTAAAGTATACTCTTGAGTGGATACTTCTGTAAATCTGGTGTACCTGGGATAATAGCTGATGGCCAGACTTTTACATACAGAATGTAGGCAGTTGGGGTGCAATTGGAAATTCAGATAACCAGCACAGTCTTGAAAAATGGACACTGTTCTAATTGTGATCACAGCAGTACTTTGAACCAAAGGCCACATTTTATAACAACTTCTTTGGCATCAACCATTCTGCAGTAAATACGGAGTAGGAAAATCAAATACTGACTTTATTGTTTTTATGGCTGTACTGATTGTCCCACTGGAACAGTAGTTCAATAGCCTATGCATTCTGTTAAATTTATAAAAGGGAACATGTCTGACTACTGTATTGATTGGAGTGTTTTATCTTGGGAAAAACAGTGGTTTCTAAGCTTGGAAATTTTTTTTTGTCTATTAACTATCTTATTACCATCAAACTCTTAAATAATTTTTAAGATCCTATTGCACCAGCAACAAATGATTAAAACATCAACTTTATACACATTTGTAACAAATGTTATTACAACATGCTGTGGAACTAAGTGGGTATAGTGAAAGCAAGCAGTATTATTTTAGAGCTTTATTTAGGCTAGGAATGGAGCTTAAAGAACATTTTGTGACTTCAGCCTTGCACTTAAATGCTAAATGGTTTTGTACTTGAATCCAACATTTGTTCAGATGTCTGTCTTGTACTGCTTCTTGCACATTCTCTCTTGGTCAGTTTTAATTTCATGCAGAATTCTTGTTTGCTGTTCTCCTGTTCCATAGCCCTTTACATGAAAATGTATACATCTTACTTCAAAAGAGCTTTAACTTATTTTAGATTATGTTTGACCTCGGTTTGCTGCTTTTTTGTACCATTTCATGTGTAGATTTCAGTAATCAAATTGATCATTTACAATGTCATTGACACAACTTACGCAACAAATAGGTCTAAGTTTCAGCTTCCCTGCTCTAAGTGACTGTTCTAAAACACTATTTCCAAGGGGATATACTTCTAAATTTATTTTCACAAATGTGGTGTTAGATGTTTTCTAAACTAGTGATACTGTGTTTATAAATCTTATGAAAGATATCTTACTATTGCATAGTATTGTACTCTAGTCTTGTTAGTGTTAATATTTCCTTTTTTTAGTACTGCCTTGGCTGCTTTTGAAATGTTTGAAGTAGTAATTAAACTATTATTTTGTGATTTTTTTACTTCTGCTTGGTTTTTAGTATTTGAGTCCTTTCTGCTATACAGGAAGCACATTTTAAAGTGGTTCAGTTCACTAGAACTATTACGTTACAATCTGTCTGCTACAAAGGAGTTCTAAAACATCAAAGGTTATTAATTGAAAAATCTTTCATCAATTAAACCAGTTTTCTGTAATTAGCTTATGCAACAGACTTTTTTTTAAAGTAGCAGAATAGGCTCTTCTGTATGTTACAGTGTGGATTCTGCTGTTTATATCAATTATGCAAGATGATGTAAACTTAGCAGTTATTAATGGAGTTTGCTGTAGACAACCAACTAGAAATGCTGTAATGCACTCCTACAGTGTAGTACATTAAAATGCCTTAAGAGCAGTAATTGTTGAGCCAACAAGTCATGTGTAGGTGTCAGTAATCAAACTGGTCATTTACAATGTCATTGACACGACTTACACATAGCAACAAATTGGTCAAAGCTTCCCTGCTTTAAGTGACTATTCTAAAATACTATTTCCAAGGGGATATACTTCTAAATATATTTTCACAAATGTGGTGTTAGATGTTTTCTAAACTAGTGATACTGTGTTTATAAATCTTATGAAAGATGTGTTACTTTTTTAGTATATAAATATATTTATAGCATAAAATGTAGTAAAGTTTTTCAAGACAGCTGTAGAAAATTATTCTGTTCATGTTGTTAATGTCCAGTAAAGGGTAAAGCAACAAGAACTTAAATGGAGGGTTATCTGTTCTGACAAAATGCCCTCTCTTTAAGCAAATAACTTACTGGCTTGTGACTCACTCTTATTTTCAAATCACTTGTCATTTACACAAAGTAAAAATCATAGTAAGTTACTAAGTCTAGATGAGGGCAATGTGTTAAATTAATTAAACAGTTTGTAACAGAAGGCTCTGTGGTATAGTCAAACTACTGCCTCTATCAGATCATATAAGAGAAGTTATGATGACAATATACAGGCAGCTAGCTTGACTTCCTGACTAGAGTTCCAAATCTGAAACATGACTGAGGAGCATCTGTGATAGAAGAGGCTGAGAGCCGCAATTGTTCTGCCTGAAGAAGAGAAAGCTCAGGAAGGTCTTACATTGTGTACAAATACCTGGGGGGGGGTGTATGTCATGAATGATTCTTTAGGTTGCCTAAAAAATCACTGTCAAAGGTATTAACAAAAGCAGGTTTAATATGAATTTGCAAAAGCATGATTTAACAAAGTTTGTTGGTGAGATTTGCTCTATTACTTACTAGATAGATGAAGCATACAAAGGAAAATAGAATTAGAATCAATCTGAAATTATTTACAGAGATTGAAGATGCCAAAGAGTAAGGGAGATGCTCCTGTTGAGTTATGAGGTTCAGAGAGGACTCCATTGCTTCTATATATGCATAGAAGGTAAGGATTGTTGGTAATAGCACACTGTGAGAAAGAACAGGATGTGGCTGGAGATGGGGGCATATCGAGGTAGGGCAGCACTTTTCCAGGAAAAACGTCCTTGTTCTGGCTCCTGGGAATAAGCACAACACAGCACAGAGCAGGTGCAGGAATATGGCTGACCTACCCCCGTGGCTCCACAAAGCCTGGGTGCACATGTGCCACAGGATGTGGACACCCAGTCAGCTGCAGCAATGCTCGCAATCCCTTCCTAATTCATCTCTCTGTGTCTCTCTCTTCCCGTTTTCAACTTTTCCTTTATCCAAAACCACTGGTGTGTGCTTATACTAGATCTGGGACTAACGTGCTAACTGTGTAATTTACCAATAAAACTTCATAAGCTTTTGTGGACCCTCTGACTTTTGTCGTTCCTTTCAACCACAAGCACCTATGAATCTTGGGTGCTCCCCTCCCCGTGGGATGCCACAGCTTTCTAAACTCCTTATGGAGTGTGACTGAGTCCAGTCTTAGTTCCAGACTTGGTCAATGGTTTATGTATTAAGAATTTGGCAGCACTTAATCGTTGACTATTTAACCATTTACAAAGTGATTCAATAGGATTTACTCAACAGTGACTTAGTTACAGATTTGATATTGCAGCAGTTACACTGTACTTGCTATATAGGGTGTTCAAATCAATTCACATGCACACGTGTGTGCATATATATATATATATATATGTATGCATACACATGCATATATATATATATACAAATTTACCTGCTAGGATTTCCCTTGAGTTCAATGAAATGCTCATACTGAATGTCTTTACATTTCTCAAGGGGTGAGGGTTGAGCCTTGAGGAGCGTGGAAGGCTATCAGCCTTCATCAGCTTTTGGCAACAGCAGTGGTCCTCTGAGTATTGCGAACTCTTGCACTGGTGAGCTCTAATAGGTTTTCCACCCACAGGGAGTGGGTGAGCCCAGGAGAGCTCAGAGGGCCTCACTTAAGATCACTGTTTATAGGATTGCAAGATGACTGGCTTCAGTCATCTGTCACTCTTCATCCTGGCCATAAGTAATTACTGGAATTTTTCAGAAGTCCAGTAGTAATAATATTGTTCCACACTGGCTATGATTCAGGTAAGTTATGGTTAGACTGTTGGGTATGGCTGATCATCTCTTATCCCTCTGTGTGGTTAGGCATCAGAAGTTCCTGTTTATGGACTGTTTCTGGTAAGCTCAAGGGGAGCTTAACTGTGCAGGAGCCACTAATGGAGGCCAAGACCTAATGAGATCATAGAGCAGCCTGAGGAGGCAGCAGAAGGCACCACATGGTATAAAAGTGGATCAAGACTCAGTGGTGCCCAGTTGAGCACAAACTGAAATATAGGAAATTCTATTTAAACATAAAACTGTTTAAACTAAGCGTGGTCAAATGCTGGTTCAGGTTGCTCAGGAAGGTGGTGAAGTCTCCATCCTCGGATATACTCAAAACCTCACTGTATGTTGCCCTCTGACACCTGCTGTAGGTGACTGTTTTAAAAAGGGGCTCGCACTACATGGTCTCAAGAGGTCCCATCCAACCTTAATTACTCTAATTTTATCTGCTATTTAACCTGCTTATTGCATGTGTGACCCCTGTAGCTTTAAACTTTTGTTAATGCAAAAAGTCCAAAGCAAACCTATTCGCATTCTGGCTTCTGAAATATCTTGACAGTTTCATTTGAAAGTTTCCTTCTTATAGTGTTGAAGGGTAAGAGTGCCCTCATAAACTGGATGAGCATAAACCATATGAGCAAAACATGAAAATTAAATCTCTTTATTTGGACAATGTTCAGCTGAACAAACATAATAAATATAAAAACGTGAGCAATTGTTTCTTGCTTAAGTTCCTCACCAGCTTGTTCTGGAATGGTTGAAGGTTCTACAGATCTTGGAAACTTGTTGAAACTTCACACTTATTTTGTAGGAGCCCACGTCCAATGCTTGGTATCAAACCCAACTTAAACAAGTAGAACTGCATTAATACAGCCATCATTTTCCGGATTGTTTGTTACTTGTGCATATTTCCCTAAGGAGAAAAGAGAATTAAATGTCTACAAAAGCTCGAAGTAGATCACATAGGTTAGATTTTTCTATGTTTGCAAGTTCAATCTACAAGTCTCTAAAAAGTAGGGACTCAAATGCATTTTGAAATCTAGATCTACCTTTTACTGGGCTATAAACTTATGTTCTCAAAGTATTATATTCAGGCTGTTTTTTAAAAACAGATTATTTAAGAGTTCTGAGTAGAATAAAAAAAATACTTAGGATTGCTACTGTCCAAGTGAAACCCTCTATTAAAAGAAATCAATCTTATGAAGATCATAGAATATGCTGACTTGGAACAGACCCATCAGAATTGAGTCCAATTCCTGGCCCTGCACAGGACAGACTCACGAATCACACCATGTGTCTGAGAGCATTGTCCAAACACTTCTTGAACTCAGACAAGTTTGGTGCTGTGATCACTTCCTCAGGTAGCCTGTTCCAATGCCCAGTGACCCTCTGGGTGAAAAACCTTTTCCTGATATCCAACCTAACCTCTCCTGACTCAGCTTCACGTCGGTCCCTCGGGTCCTGTCAGTGGTCACCAGAGAAGAGATCAGTGCCTGCCCCTCCTCTTGCCCTCATGAGGAAGTTGTAGACTGTGATGAGTCTCCCCTCAATCTCCTCCAGGCTGAACAAATTAACCTCAGCTGCTCCTCATACAGCTTCCCCTCAAGGCTCTTCACCATCTTCTCTGCCCTCCTTTGGACACTCTCTAAGAGTTCAATATCTTTCTTATATTGTGGTGCCCAGAACTGCACACAATATTCAAGGTGAGGCCGCCCCAGTGCAGAGCAGATCGGGACAATCCCCTCCCTCGACTGGCAATGGATGCTTTGCCTGATGCCACCCAGGACACGGTTTGCCCTCCTGGCTGCCAGGGCACTGCTGACTCATATTCAACTTGACATCAATCAGGACCTCCAGATCGTTTTCCACAATGCTGCTCTCCAGCCTCTCATTCCCCAGTCTATACTCAAAACCAGGGTTGCCCCATCCCAGGTGCAGAATCTGGCTATGATACTCCTATACAACTTCCACCGAAAACATAATATGATTGTTCACACAGTTAGTCTTTATAGACTTGTGATATTGCTTAATGTGACACATAGGCATGCAAGCTGAATCTTTGTTCTGAACTTCATCTAAGTGAATGGAAAGCCTAAGATTAACACTTGCAGTTTGTATTTTTATAGCTGCTAGTAGTTGCTTCTGCTACAGCACAAACCTAACATTTAACAATGACTATAGGACAAGGTCTTAACAATACATGATGCAATGAAGACAAATCTTTTAAAAGTAATTCTGCAGTATAACTAGGTAAACTTACTTACCCCAGATAACTTTGCCCCCTTGTGTCACAAGGCCAAGCTCACTCACATTAACCTCAATGACGGTACCCTTGGTAATTACACCAAGTGTCGTATACAAAGGAGAAGATGGATTCTTTTTAACACCAAGGATAGGTAGGCAAAAAGTGGCTTTAAGTTCGGGATGTGTCACATGTGCCTTCTTGAAACGTAAGCCCTGTTGCATAAGAAGTGTTAGAATGAGTTAATACTTGCTTTAAGCTCTCATGTCTGATCTAGTAAACACTTTCAGCATTATGTCCTCAGCTTTATATGTTCTGAGAGACTGGATGAGAATACAGAATGCTATCTACCTACTACAGAATGTCAGACTTATTTAAAAACCTGATTAGTGACAAGATAAAGCATATTTTCAGGATATAAATTTTTAATAATAGCACAAGTACAATACTTGTTACCTTGGATGGCTACTGTTCCATAAAGAAAGTATTGTAAAATATTAAATACTCATCTCTATAGCAGTTTTTATCTAGTGACTTGCACTTTGTAAAGGGTACTTTACCATTAAGTACCATAAATCATTCCGTGTCAGTAAAAATCTACCCAAGGCTTCTGTGTAATACCATCAAACTAGTAATGAAATACAATTGAACAGGCAGCCTGCACAGTGATTATTGACTCCTGTGAGGGAACAAGAGCAGGTATTCATCTGAAAACTTCACTATATCACTGAATCCAGCTTTTCCTCCTGTGTGCTGCCAGGCTGATAGAGCCCAGGCACTGTTCCTGCAGCTGTGTAAGTAAATGTCAGGCTGGAGGTACAGCACTTCCCTCGCATACAGTCATGACTGCGCTTCAAGCTTACTTTAGCCAGGAGGGAGTCCTGGACTCTTCTAAGAGAGTTGGCTGCTACAGCTGAGAGATCGTAGCAGCTTGAAAAAGAAGCCTCCAACATTAAAAGCTATTCAAAGTATCTCTGATAAAGATTTGAAATCTCATAGTTTTAACTTCCTGACATCATCTGAGTTACGGGAATAAAAGCAGATATTTTGACACAGACTGTCAGGTGCAGGGGCACCTCCCCTCCCTCATGCAATCAGAACTTTAGATTTATGCAAGCAAACCAATAGGAATGTTCTACGTAAGCAGTAATTCAATGCATTACCATACAAGAAAGTTCCCTCACCACAGAAACTCACAAAGTAGTAAGTCTCAAGAATTATTATTTAAATTATCTTTAAGGCTCAAAAATATTACCATAGGTCGAATGAATCGCTCGTATTTAGGAGGCTTCCTAGTAAAGCCATCTCCAACAAAACAAACTTTTGTAACCATTCTCTTCCAGGCCTTCTTCTTTCTCTTTCCTGTACGAATCACTTTCAAAACTTCTGTTTCCCCTTGTGCACGGACCTTTGGTACAGGAACCTCCCATTTCCCCTGGAAGAGGGGGAAACAAAAAGGTCAATATTCTTACATGTCACATTGCTGAGTGAAAGAGGATAGCCAAAGCATAAAATAAAATTTCCCTAAATCATAGTGGTAGACCATACTTGTCATACAACTCATAGCTACTTAATTAGCATTTAAAGTTTTGAAAATCAAGATACTGCATATGCTCACATTGTCCTAAACTGCTCAATTACTAAAGGTTTCAGGCTTTAATTAGTCTTTGCTTGTAGGCTGTTAAGAAAACTGAGAATCAGCAACACAAAGTGGTCGTTGTCACAAGTAACTGTAGGTATCTGAACTCTGATACAGTTACTTACAGCTTTTTCTTTTCTTTTCTGCTTGATCATGTTAGAGAGAACCTTAGCCCGGGACTGGCCCTCTCTGTCCAGCAGGTATGCTGGTACAGCTCCCTTGGGTGTTTTTTCATCACTCTTTTGCTTTGTATTTCTCTTCTCATGCATTTTAATGCTGCAAAGAAAGAAAACCAGTATTAGAAGCAGGAAAAAAAGGTTTATTTTTAAATATACCCTTTCAACTTAGTTTGTGCCTGCTCAAACTTTTCTTTTAAGAGATATTTGTAAAAAATTGCATATTTATATATAAGAAATAATCCTCAATAATTTTCAAGATAAACAAGTATTTCACTTAATCCAACAACTGACAGACTGCATAGTGCATAAAACCTTGCCACCTCCTGCCAAGATGGGAATACAAAACATGCATCTCTTTTAAGGAATGTCTGAATGACTTAAAGCAAACAACCAAATACACTGAGAGATGTACTTCCTCTCTGACAAAAAATAACATGCCACTCCTCTTCTGAGATTTGATGGCAATGCTTACAAACGTCAGGAATGTGTGTTTGTAAAAGTCGGGGGGAAAAAAGACAACAAACTAATAGACCCATTATCTTTACAAGTAGCAAAGAAAAACAACTGTCTACACTTTGAAAACAACAAAACCAACCTGGTGGACAGGTATTAAAGTTCATTAGCAATGAAGCATACTATTTACAATTTTGATTTCAATTTCTGGACAACAGATAAAATTTCCAGAAAAATGCTTGTGTTTGTCTATGCTTGATGCTGTAATTTATCCTTGAAGACAGGCCTCATGCTCTACTCAAACTGTGTACGTTACTGTATTTTTTTCTCCTAACCATTAAAAAAACCCTGTTGCCTCTTGCCATATTAACTCAGTGGTTGATGTGAAAGTCTTAAGTAAATGGATTCACTTTTTTGTCGTAATTACATTAGTCGCTGTCATTGCTAAGCAACACTTCTCTTGAGGAAAGCCTCTAGAGGCGGAATTGTTAACATTCATTGAGAAGAGACAAAGTACGAAACGTATTCGTGGTGGCAAAGCCCCTTTCCTCCTGCAGCCTGAGTGCTATTTAAGTGTACAACGCGAGACTCAAGTAATGATTAGCTCTTTATAACGTCCTGTCTCATCCCTGAAGCGTCAGGACTACAGGACGGCTCCAGAGAGGAGGCGGACACTCACGTCTTCTTCATCTGTATCTTCTCGGCGTGCCGCTGCTTGTGGTAGAGCTTGGCCTTCAGCCCGATCATCTTCTTGGCCTTGCGGGACCGCTCGTGCGCCTCCCGGCCCTCCTTCTTCCTGCGCCTCTCGTGGTAGTCCAGCCGGTACCCATAGCGCTTGCGGTGCAGCTCGATGTGCTCGTTCTGCGGCTGTGGGCACAGAGGCAGCGCGGTAAGAGGGGACCGGGGCCGGCTGGGCGGGGAGGGCGCCTCTGCCACGCGCGGGGAGGCCGCGGCCCAACAGTGGTTCTCTCACTGCGGGGCCCACCCAGCCGCTCGCACCCTCCCCGGCCCGCCCGCACCCCGCCGTCCCCGTCCAGCATCCCGTCCAGCATCCTGGGTCCCGCATCCCATGCCCCGGCTCCCAGTTCCCAGTTCCCGGCTCCCGGTCCTCACCATGTCGGCAGCCCCGCGGACTCCTCAGCGGCGAAAAGGGAGGGCCGCTCGCGAACAGGCCCCGACTGGAAACTCTCCCCAGAGCGCTTTGGTTCCTCCAGGCGGAGAGACAGGCTGTTCGCCCTCCTCGAGGGCTTTGCGCCGGGCTCGGCGGGGCCGAAAGAGGGAGAAAAAAGAAGCAGGAGAGGCCGAAGGAGCGCTTTTTGCCACCTGGTCTGTCAGGTCGTGGCGAGAGGGGGGAACGCTGGAGGCGGTGAGGTAGCGGGGGAAGGTAGAGGGAGGGCGCCTTCCGACGGCATGGCGGCAGGGCAGGCGGGGGCAGAGGCCAGGACGGGGGTTGAGTGCGTCGTGCACCCCTGGGCTGGGCCGTGCTGAGGCTGCAGCGGGGGCAGGAGGTGATCGGGGACGGCGCAGAACCGCCCCAGAGGTTCGTAGGGCGGCGGGCAGGGCAGTATCGTTTTGTGGAGCGTCAGCGGGGCTCGGCCGCGGGGCTCCTCTCGCGGGCTCGTCACGGGCAGTGTGAGGACACAGCGCCCGTCCCGCACTCCCGGACAGCGAAGCGCGGCGGCACCTTCGGGAGACTAGGGTGCGGCTCGTAACATGAGGGTGTGCAGATGAGCCTGTGCGCAGAGCTTCTTACCCCTCGTTGTGAAACTACCACGGAGCATCAAATCACTGGAGCTGAACACTGGCATTTCCTTAAATAAGTAGCAGCCAGCTTGGGCTGCTTTGGAAGCTGCTGCACTTGTGCTTTCTGTTGCAGGGTTTTTGGCGATGCTTAAAAGGTCGTAGTACTTAATATTTTCTGTTGTTTCTGCCCTAAATAGATATTTTGCCCTGCAACCTGTTCTCTTTCAAGACCGGAAAATCTGTTTGCACTTCGCTGATCTGTAATCGGTGCTCTAGAGCTTTTCTGAGAGTTACTGTAAGCTCTGATGTTCATTATTTTGCTTTACTGTTTAAAAATTTCTTTGAGAAATACACTTAGTGTTTGTGGGCATGTATTTGTGCTGCATTGTTAAGGCTTAATAACATTATTTTTACAGATATGATACTGATTTAACTTGCAAAGTGTTAACCTGATTTGACTGGAACAAGAGTAAAATCTTGTGATTGAGTTATGTCAAAGTGATACAACTAAGCTGTTTCTTGTCATAAATGTTTTGTGTGGTTTACTTACCTTGTCAGGGAACAGCATCAAAGAGTGGAGCCAGAATGTGGAAAGTTATGAGGAGAGTTTCAGTGGATTTATTGGAGTCATCAAGTTTATGCAATAAGGTAAAGTTCCCCCAAATTTTGGTACTTACTCTGTGAGCAAAGGAAATACTTGGGTTATTCTGAGTAAACTTTTTTGATTGTGGTGGTAGTGGTTTTTTCTTTTTTCTTTTCCTTTAAAAGTTGGTTTCCAAACAGAACAGGTACTTTCATATTGGAATGGGAAGATGAATTTATAATTTTTATGTAATTTTTTTTTACTACTTAACATTTATAATTGTTAAATTTGTATTATTTACAAAAATAATTAGACATATTTAAAACAATGTGGCTATTGGCAACATACTTTGATAGATGTCGATAGATTTTTACTAGATATCCCAAATATTACTGGGATTGAACTTGGTGTAAACCTCAGTGTGGGCATCATCTTCAAGCATCTACTTCCAAATAGCTTGTGTTTTCAGCTTATATAAATATATAACAATGGTATCTGTTCATATAGATACATTTTTTTGGTTTATTTTTGTGTAACTGGCAAAAATGTAACTAAATAATTAGTTATAATGATAAATATTCTATATAATTCTTTTTTCTTTCAAGCAGGTGTATTTCAGGAAGACAAAAATGAGAGTTGTGAGTGTGACACAGCAAAACTGCAGTCTGAGAAACTACAGTGCTCCACCAGGTATAAGTTAATTAGCTAATCATCAGTCCAGATGAACATCAGCATTACAGTTGTCTTGAACTGAGACATGCGTCTGCAGAGTAAGATGTTACTGTGCTGATGATACTTTTCTGTGTTGGCTTTTTCCTCTTGTTTCTAAAGATTCTCTCTTTTTTTTTGTTTTTGAGAGAGAGATTGATTGAAAACTAAGTACATATCTTTAGAAATTTGAGATGGTAGTGATTACAGATTGTCATGAGTTGTGCATCTGATTCTTTTTTTTAGTAAGGTTTTTATAAGTTTTCTTAAATATATTTTCTACGTTGGGTTCAGTCTTAAAAATTGTTTAATTTTGTTTGTCTCCAGGAGATGTTAAGTCTCTGCGTTCTGTCATTAATCCTGATATATCCAGGTACGTCATGCTGGCTTATTGTTTGGATGTAACTGGTAGTCAGGGCAATTGATGTGATGAAGAGTTATAAGTTGTTGCTGTACCTGTCACATGTGCATGTTTAATTTAAATTTAGTACTTGTTTACTTTTACCCTTGTGACATTTCAATATAGAACACTTGTTGGTGTCAGAAAGGTCTGGAATTGTCTCTTGTTTGTATCATTATAGCCAAAACTGGGCTTGTAGGGAAGCTCCAAATCCATGGTGTTGTTGGGAGTTGAAAAAGGGAGAAGGGGTGTGTTGGCAACTAGACCTCTGCTGTTGTGTGCTTTGTGTTAATGGGAGCACTCAGCCGCATTAGACGAGGGCAAGGTAACTGGGGACTGAGCTGCCAAAGAAATATCCTAGGGGTGAAGTTCCCTTAGAAAGCTACTTTTGTCCTGAGGGTGAGGTCAGCTGGCATTAATGGTGAATGTTAATGGTGCTGCACAGAGAAAGTGAAGCAGTTCTGGAAGCTGCTGCTTCGGTACTTTAGAAAGGAAGAGTTGAACAGAATCAAAGACAGCATCACGGGAACAATGGATGCTGTATTTGGAGCATAAAGGAAATACATGCAATGGGTTGTTTGGGGCACCAGGTGTCAGGGACTGGGATGGACGAGAGGGTGCTTCTGTCTGTGGAGAGGGCAGATGGGTGAGGATGAGCCCAAGAAGAGGCATTCCCTAAAGTGGAGCATGGAAACCTGTTGCAAAACTGTTCAATACACTGTTTCAATACTAGCGTCTTTCAGTATTGGAATGTACACTGTGTCCCATATGCAGTAGAGGAAAGATGTTATTAATCCGAGATGTTATTCTCAGTGAGTATTAATTGTTTATGCAAATAAGAATATCACAGAATAAAAAAATTATTGCACTAAACCCGATGTTTTCATTTTATGCAGAATCCGAAACATTGGCATTATGGCCCACATTGATGCAGGCAAAACTACGACAACAGAGAGAATGCTGTATTATTCTGGATATATAAGAACACTTGGAGGTTAGAAATGCTTTTTGTATTTCAGTAGCTTTGAGAGATTTAATAATGTACAGTAACATGCAATGCAGTTAGAGGTTGCTGGTGGAATACCTGATGTAGAAGCCAGTTGTTCCAAAGTTGTGCTGTGGTTTAATGGAATTTTAAATGCACATTCCATTATGTTCTAAGGCAGTTGCACTTTGAGAGATCATAGGTTCATATTTTTCTTTTAGTGCATTATGTTTTGTTTAACATTTAATTAGAGGATCTCATTAGTTTAGTTGTTGCTCGTTGGCCGTTCTGGTAAAGCTGTTTCTTCAGTTTTCTTTTGACCTTTAAAGAAACTAGATTGAGAAACAGTATCCATTTCTTTTGAAAGCCATAGCTCAGAAAGAATTTCTTGCTACAAGAACTTTTGCAGAATTTTTCAAGATTGAAAGGGTCACAGCAGCCTCTGTGATTTTTGACCTTTTAAATTTCATTCCCTGTTCTTGACTATATATGACAGTGATAGAAAATGTTAAGCTTGTGGAACGTTTGAACTTGGTGTCTTGCTTGTTTAAAAATGTGGAACTACTTCTCTTTTTATTAAAAATTAAAACCAAAATCCATAACCAAAACCCAACCTCTTAGTCGGTGTTTTTTGTTTGTTTGTTTTTACTTTGACTTTAACTTAATTATCTTCTGATTAGCAAATTTTTAAATGTCAGTTGTGTTCCGTACAGTCAGTGCAACCAGGTTTTTTAAAGCTGTAGTTTGTTCATGATTTTTGACTTTGCTTTAGTTTTTAAGATTCTCATGGTGTTACTAGGATTAAGAACAGTAAAAAGGTTGTTGGAATTGCTAGTCTTTGACTTGCAGACCATTTGTTCCTTTGAAGGAGAGCTTGGGTAAATTACCTGACATTATACTGTTTTGAAAAAGGCTAATTTTCATAGCTTATACATATATATAAAAGGGGCAGTATTTCCAACTGTATTCAAGGACAGTTTCAGATTTTGAATTGTTTACCTACCCAATTCTGGTTCCTGTTTACAGATGTTGATGATGGAGACACGGTGACAGATTTTATGGTACAAGAGCGAGAACGTGGTATTACCATTCAGTCTGCTGCAGTTACATTTGACTGGAAAGACTACAGAATCAATCTGATTGACACCCCAGGTACTGCTGTTATTACTAAGGGAGAGTGGGTGGAGTGTTGTAGAATGTCTTAGTTTTAAATATGGTGCAAAATTTAGATAGTTTAATTGCATCATTAAAAAAGCCTATACTGAACTCTGTTCAGCTTTGGATAATTATTGTTTGCTGATGCCTAATCTAGCTTGTGTAAAGTGAGCTCAGATATTTCCACACTAAATTGTACTCAGTTCTAGGATCGCATTGTAACAATCTTGTGTATTTCAAAGACTGGTGGGTGTAGTTCCCTGCAAGTAAAGAAAGAGTTGTTTTGACATGACTTAAAAAAAATAGTTTAAATTTGTAATAACCTGTTGATGTTGTCTGTTTGAATTATGATGGTATAAAATGAAGATTTTTTTAGGTCATGTGGACTTCACAGTGGAAGTTGAGCGTTGCTTAAGAGTCCTGGATGGAGCAGTAGCAGTGTTTGATGCTTCAGCTGGTGTTGAGGTAAAAACAACGGGTAGATTTTTCTTTTGTATGTGCATCTGTCACATGAAAGGGGAGAGATTTTCTCAAACCCTCTTTGTTTGGTTAGTGTCTTAGTGCCCCAGGAAAGTAAAGACCCTTGTCCCTGACCAGTTTCAGTGTCCCATTACTGAACAGTCCACTCGATCAGAGGGTGGATCAGCTAACTGGTTCAGGGTCACATGCAAGTGAAAAGACCCCTTCCTTAGGAGGGGTCCTTAATTGGTCTGTCAATGCCTCAGAAAAGATTCAGGGATACAAACCAACAGCATCCCAGGCCTCCACAGGCCAGTATGTTACCTGCTGGCAGCAGCTGTTAGCACCCTTGAAAGACTCAGACTTAACAGTTTATGGAATAACACTCTTTATTAATATAACAGAAAACTGTGATGGGTTAAGGTTCGAAGATTGCCAGTGATAGTATCTGGCTGCAAAATTGTATTCAAAGCTATGTACTAACAAGCTTAGTCCCTAACAAAAGCTGGCTCCATTCAGTGCGCGTTAGAGTATGGTTCTTACTCAATAGGCATCTATGGGGGGAAGACAGGTTTAGCCCATGGAGTGATCCTAGAAGTTACACTGGAGTCTTTCCTAACTTCTGCCCAGTTTTAATTTAGTTTATTAATATTTTTATGTTTAAGTAGAGGTTGAGTGGTTCTAGTCATACCTCATGTACAGTGGGGGGTGGTTGTACTTGGGGAGGTCAGTATTACATCTGAGGTACCTTTTAGGGTGGAGGCATATATGTGTGATCTTGTCACATTTGCTTGTTCAACAGTAAGAAATCTTTCTTCCCCCGCCACCAAGTTCTCCTCGTGCGAGGATTTCAACAGAGCCTGTGTCTCTGCTCAGTTCCACCCTCTGTTTAGTTCCCCTTAGCATGTACTATGTGTGGGAAGTCAGGCATGCTGACCACATCCCATCCAGGGAGTGGCAACTGCATGTCCCCCTATGATTTCCACACTGTTACAACTTCTTTAAGAGTGTGAATATAACTTCCCAGTTTTCTCTAATTTTACCCCCAGCCACTCCCATTCATTTTCCCGCAGCATCTGATGACTTAAATCAGACTGAAGTACTGTACAGAGATGTTGCACTCTATTATATCTCTTGATGCTTTGTCAGCTTCAAGAAGCTGAGCACTTAATTTCAAGTTCTATAGTGCACATTTCTATGGTAACAAGCAGGAAATAAGTGGGATTACCATTAAATTTTGGAGTGGTTTTGTTGGTTCGTGGCTGTCTTTTACAAACATTGATTGATGTGAATGTTTCTGGCTAGCTACACAAGTGGAAAGAAATGAATGTCTGTCAATTTCTCATTTTCAGATTTCATGTAGAAAATTGGAATTTTCAGCCAGAATTTCTCCTTGCCCAATGGCCTTTTTAACATGGCCTTTGGGTTGTAGTGCAGAAAAAGTGGTGGCAGAGTGGAATTAGACTTTATATGGCATGAAGTGTTTCAGTAGTCCAATTCTGTAGAAAAGTTATATGCGAAATTATTGTCTTTCATGGAACATACCTTTTTCCCAGATAAGGGATGAGAGAACTCTTGATCACTGTAAGTCACATTATTTAACTTGCTGTTGGAAAACATTTAGGCGCCATCAAATGTGAACCTGAACTGAGACACAGCCCCAACCTCAAGAGCAAAACAATTAGATTTGCTTGTGTTTTTTTTGACAACTTTGTAGCAAATTCTTGCATTATTCTATGTATTGGAATGGACTATTTTGGAATCTTAAGTGATTTTTATATATACTTGTTTTAACTTTCAAATAAATATATGTATGATAAATGGCTCAGCAGTGCACAAATTACTAGCAAAACTACAGTAGTTTTAGTGTTGTATGTGTAGCCACAGAAATGCTTGCCTGTGTGTGCTTGAAGTACTTTGGCAATAAATTCTAAAGGTTTATTCATTGTACAAGTTTTGAGCTGGCTTCCCGCCAAGTCCCCGAAACTTGACAACAAGGACCTGCTTCCCAGAGAGGGAAGAAAAAAACCGACTTAAGCAGCCAAAGGTATAGCAAAAAAAATATATATATTTTACATATGAGATAGATATATACAATGAAAATATTACACACCACAACTCCAGAAATCCTAAATAGCTCCCCAAAAGGGAAGAGGGGGAGGGAGAAGGGAAAAGAACAAAACAGGACAAAAAAAAGGGCAAAGACCAAACAAGTCTACACAATCCAAAAACCCAGTAACCAGCCAACTAAAGAACTAGCAAAATCTCACCGCTTCCCTTTGAACAGGCAGGATGGCCAGACACAGCCCAGCACTCTCCCCTCACGTGTGGCAGATAATGGCAGTCACTGTAGGCCTCAGCTCCAGATAAGCCAGACTGAGACAGGGACCCACCGTTCTCGAACCTCGCCGGAAAGGAAGAGAGCGAGGTCCCTCCTGCTGGCTTTATTTATACCTCGAGTTACGTAAAGGAATAGCATGGAATACTTCCGTGATCACTTTCCTAGTTCCTTCCTGGTTACAAGCTGGTCTCCAGGAAGGCCTAGAGTGAAACCATCACATTCATGTATGTCCCCTATAATACTTAGTTTCTCTCCATGTTTTCTTGCTCGTGTTCCTGCATGTTCTTAGTGAAGGAAGGGAAATGACAACAGCTGAGATACAAAACTGCTTGTGAAATTCATCTGTGCTGCTACATATGGAATCGTTGGAACACACTCGGCACAGTTCCCTTCTATACTCTGAACTCAGAACCTCAGTGGTATTGGGGAGTACACAGTTCAGCTATTGGCACTAATGTTTCCATTTTGTCTTTTGCTTTAGGCACAAACTCTGACAGTGTGGAGACAAGCAGACAAACATCAGATACCACGAATTTGCTTTTTAAATAAGATGGACAAAAGCAGGGCAAGGTATTTAGACAGATATTTTAATCATTGCTAAAAACCTTGTAAGAGAATGTCTCTAATAAAGTTTTCCTGTTAAGCATAGAGCAACCCAATTATGTTAGTACTTACTATATGCTGTGCAAATGCATATGCAAATACATCTTTTTATGTAATTGTTGGAGTAATTTTTGCAGTAAATAAGGAGTGGTAGATGTATTTTACTAATGTCGTTAAGTTTGTGTAACTTAGTATCTGGGTTTTTTATATAGTTTTACATATGCCGTTGAGAGCATCAAACAAAAGTTGAAGACAAAACCTTTGCTATTACAGGTAAGCTTTCTTTCAAATGGAACTCCTTTCATAATTTTTTGCAGCTGTCTAAAGTTTCTACTGTTTTTGCAGTTGCCCATTGGGGAAGCCAAGACCTTCAGAGGACTGGTTGATATCGTGACTAAGGAAAAAATAATTTGGAAACCTACTTCTGATTTGGATGATGGAAAAAATTTTGAACGAAAGCTGCTGCTGGAGGCTGATGATCCAAACCTGTTCCAAGAAGTCCAGGATGCCAGAAATACCTTAATAGAACAAGTAAAGTTCTAAAGTAAATGCATAATGTATTTAAAACTGTTACTTAGAACAGTAGGAAAAATAGGCTCTGTAGCTTAAGTGACTCTGGCTAAGAGAACTGCTCAAAGCAGGGCTGACTTCAGCATTAGATAGGATTGTTCAGGCCTTGTTCAGTTGAGTTTTCAAGTATAAGGATGGTGATTACAGTCTCTCTAGGCAGCCTGCCCCAGTGCTTGACCATCACTATTTCTTTTTATCCAGTGGGAATTTACCATGTATGACCTGTGGCAGCCATGCTGGTCTTCTGTTGTGTACCTCTGAGAAGAATCTAGCTCTGTTTTCCCTGAAGTGGGCCCACCACCACCATTTCAAGTATTAAGAGACAGCATTTGCCTCTCCAAGTTAGACCAAATACATCTCTCTGCTTCAGCCCTGTTAGTGGTTTGCCACTGGACTTCCTACAGTTTAGTCAGTTTCTTTTTGTGCTGGGGAAGCTAAAAAGAGAACTAAAGATGCAGCTTCACAAGTGCAGGGTAGACGGTACTAACTGCTTTCGCTGATCAACTGGCTATGCTCTTGTGGATGTAGCCCAGTATGCAGTTAGCCTTTGACGCTGGACGGTGACACTACTGACTCATAGGGTCCAGCAGGACCCTCTGGGTGACTTCTGCAGAGCTGTGTCCTAGTTGGTTGATCCCCACTTTGTATCAGTGCTTGGATTTGTTCTGTTTTAGGGGCAAGATTCTGCATTTGTCTTTGCTGAACTGCAGATTTTTTTCACTTCCATCTGTCAAAGTTGCTTAATGCACATTGGAAATGTTAATATGTGATGGCAAAACATGCTGAGTATAGAGAGTTGGAGTCCCTGACTGTACAAAATGGAAGACTCCCTGCTTTATAGATAGGGAACTGAAGAAAGCAGACACTAAATTTGTCATGCAGTTGGCTAATACGGTATCTTGTAGTCTTAGATGCTAAAGGATATTTGGTACATTCACGCAAGGCCTGACCTACGTACCTGAAGGGTGTCCATACTCTTCTGGAGTGGCAGCTAGAAGGTGGATAGGTTTTTGCAGGCTGGTCAAAATGGCAGCTGTTAGAGGCAGCTCAATCCAATCATAAATTGATCTATTTTGTTGGAAATGCTGCCTTTCATAAAGCTTTGAATAACATTGTGCAAGTGCATAAACAGGTGATGGTAGGCTTTCAGTTTCCTTTGAAACATCAGAATCGGGGAGATCTGTTTTATATTGCTCTGAGTTCAGTAGAATTCATACACAATCTGGTTTTCAAACTTACCAGGATTTAAATGGGGGTATTATTACTCAGCCTTTTATCTTAAGAAATGTACTGTCAGATAAAAAGCTTTATAAGAACACTGATGGTTTTTTTCCCCCCTTTGTTTTCTGGGCCTTTCCTGAAGGAGGAAGGGGTGGACCAGTAGCGGGATAATTGAGATAACCTTGTGTTCATAAAATCTTTTTTGAAATGCTTTCTATCCTGTTAACACTCGTTATCAGAAACACTGTCAAATTTAGTATTTTGAATACCAGCCATTTTGCACACTTTACTTTCACTTAATTAAATAAACTGGTTCCTGTATAGTATGGCCAGTCTTCGCGTGCGAAGATTTGGGAAAGGTCATTAACCCTTCGAGCCTGCGCAGTGGATTTTTTTTTTAGGTGAGACACAGCGTGCGCTGAACTGAGCCCACCCTTTAATCCTGAGGTTCATCTGCCGGGGCCGAGCAAGCTTGGACAGTGGCAGTGAGGTCCCCAGGACGTAGGTTTGATTAGAATGACCTTCTCTTAGATGGATTGCCTTACAGGGCTGACGAGCTTCATCTGCCCGGGGGGCTGGGAATCGAACCCGGGTCGCAGCGGTGAGAGTGCTGCACCCTAACCACTAGACCACCAGTGTTTTAACTATTAGCCCAATTAGACTTCTAATTGCTTATCAAGGGTTTATTTCAGAATTTGGTCAATTGGTTCGTAGCCGTTAGAGGGGGCATGTGCCTTCCTGGACATGGAGCAGGAGCCTGTGACAGTGCAAGGTTGTATGTGAGACAAGGTTTACAGAGTAGTTGAGTTACAGGTCAAGCAAAGCGGTACAGTTTGAAAACACAGATATACTCTTGGACATACAAGCCTTTGACATGAAGAAGGTCAAAATGTCCTGATGCTTCTCTGTTTTTTCCAGCTGAGTGTCTGTTGGCTTGCAAAGGTTACTTCTGCTTACTTCAGACCTTGCCATATTTGCAGGTTTGAAGTACAGTCATTTATACCCCTCATGGCTGTCACTGTATGGCTGGATGTTTTTTCCATTTCAAGGAGGAATACAAGCTTTCTCTGTCCCACTGATGTTTTGTCTGACAGCAGCTTTATAAGTGTATTTTAATGTTTTTTCCCCACATCCTTTCTTGAAGCCTTAATTTACATAATTTTCTGTGGTTTGAGTTTTTGATCTCTGATGTCTTTAAAGGCTTTGTTCTTGCTCTGCTTAGCTATCTATCCTACGTAAGATTTGTGTCTTGTCTGTAAAACTGCTGTATGCCAAATAATAAAGAACTATTCTCTTTAAGGTTGCAGATCTGGATGATGAATTTGCTGAACTGGTTCTAGGAGAACACAGTGAAAATTTTGACTTAATATCAGCTGAGAAGGTAATTTTTACATTTCATTTTTCATAAACAGGTGTTTGCTAGCTGTTATTCCAAGGGGCTGGTTTGGCACATGGAGATTATTCCTTTGGCATGTGCAGATAATGATTTTGCAGATTTATCAACAGAAAGAAATCACACCAGCTTTTGCAGTGAATTAACAGTATTGTGAATTTAGAGCAGAATGTGTTTGAGTTTAGTATGAATTTTATACAAATGCCCTATGATTCTTGGGCATGCTAGGCACAATTTTAAAAGTAGGGTACATTTGTTCAGGAAAGTGAGTTTGTTTTTTGTTTTGAAAGTTAGACTGCTGCAAAAGAGCTTAGGGGAAGGTGAGTGGAACTTCCAGGTAGACTCAGTGCACTTTGTGACTGAGCTGCTGTTTCTTATTAACAAAAGTAGCATTTCAACCATTTTGAATTGGTTGGATCTTCATGCACTGCATGTTGAAAGTGTTGAGGTACAAAATTCTGAATTAAAGGTACTGTTAGAAAAAGAACAGCTGCAGATGTGTATGAAATGTTTAGAAATCTTAAAGAACAGCTGCAGATGTGTATGAAATGTTTAGAAATCTTAAAACCAGTGTCTCCTGTTTTAGCATCTAAACATTTGGGTTTATGGTTTGGAGCTCATTAAAAGCAGCGAAATGAGTTTGGATGACTGATGTATTTACAAACATATATTTTTTAAACTTATGGGGGATTAATTAGCAATATCTGATAGCTGGAGTGCAATGTAAGGCTAAATTGTAGTTCATTTGTTAACAGAAAATAGTTTCTTTTTTGCAGTTACAGTCTGCTATCCGGAGAGTCACTCTTGCTCACAAAGCTGTCCCTGTACTCTGTGGCAGTGCACTGAAGAACAAAGGAGTGCAGCCACTACTGGATGCCATTACTATGTACTTGCCTGCACCTAATGAACGTTCATATGAGTTTCTGTAAGTACAGGTAGAAAAGGAGGTTCAGGAAAAAGGAAAAATAAATAGGAAAGCGTAAAAGGAGAAAATAAAAGATGTTAACAAAGCATTCATATTCTTTAAAAATGTTTACTCTTTTTAGGTATTAAATAACTTTAGAGATGTGTGGACAGAAAAATACACTTCAGTACTGAACCTACTTTGGTCAGCACTACAGGAATTGTATGCATTTATCTTCAGTTGTCAAACTAGCACTTCAGAGTCTTTGTATTATCTGAGAATAATCTCGTTTTACAAAAATGTGGTCTAGGGATCTTATTTAGTGTTGACTGAATCACATGACATCTTAGATGTCCTACTGGAACTAGAACTGCTTAGATTATTATTTTTTGGTATAAATTATGATTTTTAAAATCTGCCTCTATTAGTATTACAATAAGAAACATATCATTCCTTAAATGAATGGAAGTTTAGGTAACTGTGAGATTGAGTGGCTTAATTCTACAAGTATGCATTTTGTTCTTTTTATTTTGCAGACAGTGGTACAAGGATGACCTGTGTGCCCTAGCATTTAAAGTTCTCCATGATAAATGTCGTGGACCACTGGTTTTTGTTCGCGTTTACTCAGGTTCACTGAAACCTCAGTCAGCTGTATATAATATTAACAAAAGTTGCACGTAAGTAAGATAGAGACCTGGTTTTAATGTAGAAATAGAATGTCTGTTGAAGTCCCAAGTAATACAAGAATTTAATTTTTAGAGAGAGAATGAGCCGGCTGCTCCTGCCTTTTGCTGATCAGCACATTGAAATACCATCACTGATGCCTGGCAACATTGCTCTTACTGTTGGGTTAAAACAGGTAATAAAAAAATACTGACTCTGTAAGGGAGCTTGTTTCACTAATGTGCTTTCTACTTCTATGGTATTGTATCTCAAATGTGTTCTTGATAATGTTGTCAATATGTAAACTTGCTTTATTTGAAGTACATGTTTGTACAAATGTCAATAATTGAACTGGAAGCTGCAGTGCTGATTGGAAAGGACTGCAAGCTGAAGGTGTATTTTATTAGGGTTCGAGCATACATTTATACTGTAAGTCTTAAAATACAATGTTGATGCCACAAAGAGACCTCCTGTGGGGGTGGAGAAGGATGTTCCAAATAAGTTACCCAAAAGCAACAGTTCAAGTTGAAATAAATTTGTTTCATGCTTGCTTCTATTAGTTTAATAACTCAGTGTTTTATTGCCTAAACAGGCTGCATGAATCTCATTTGTTTTCTAAAACGTAACCAGCTTTGGGATGCATTTGGGTTTTGGGATTTTTGTTAGGTTTTTGTTGGGTTTTTTTCACATCACCTTCTCTCCCCCTCCTGTGTCTTGTGGCTCACTGGTGCTGATCTATAGAGTGCCACTGGAGATACCATAGTGTCATCAAAGGCTTCAGCAGTCGCTGCAGCACGCCGAGCTGGAAGGGATGCCAGGGAGAAGAAGAGGTCTGTGAGTGACGTAGACAGCCTTCTGCTGGCAGGTGTTGAGATCCCTGACCCTGTCTTCTTCTGTACAATTGAACCTCCTTCAATGGCCAAACAACAAGGTACAATGCAGCCACCTGGCTGACATGAATGATTTGCACGAATTTATCAGTCAGTGATCTAATAAGGCTCTTTTTGGTGTTTTGCACTGATGCTGTATTTTAGATCATATTTGTTGATATCCTTTGCTATTACTACATCAAGCAGTACTAGTATTAGTACTTTTCTTGGTTTTGTGTCTAGAAGAGTAGTGGTTCTTCATTTAGAAGTAGGAGATAGAGGCACTCATGCTGAGTTTTGCTGCAGTCACACTGATGTGCTGTACATATGTCATGACTACAAATAGCCTTGAAATGTGGGGGTTTTTTTCAGTTGGCATTTGCAGTTTTATTACTCTGTGTGTAATGTCTTCACTTAGCAAGACTTCTCTGTGTCTAGTTAGGGTTCATCCATGCAATCTGAGCTGTAATCTTACTGTCTTCCCAACTGTCTGTACCAGAGGACTTGATTATTTGACTCTTTTTGGAAATAACCCTTTAAACTCTGGGTCTTTATTCTAACAAAGCTGAGCATGGTTGGGAGCGAAGAGGAGGAGGGATAAATACCAGTATAGTGGAATGGAGCAAGGTATAACACAGACTGGGAGCAACATGTCTGTAGGCTGAGCAACTGGGTTGTAAAATATTACTGATTTTGGGGGGGTTGGATGTTTTAGTTTGCTTTTGTTTGTTTTTTCCCCAAAGATAAAAAGGCAGATAAATGCAGTCTCAGCTCTTAGTTTATCAGTCTGTAGCTGCTTTCATCAGCAGTTAAGATAATGGGGAATCAGAAAAAAAAATAGTATCTGTATTTGCATTTGAACTTCTCATGTTGAACTCATATTTAAGTAAATCATTTAACAGTTGACAATTTCTCTTATCCGTACAAAAGGATCAATACTTTTTATTGACTTTATGAATCATTTATAGGTTCCAGTCTGTCTCCATACAAACACAAAATATCACTCTGAAAATAGTACATTAAATAATTAAATTAAAGCACTCTGTAGTGCAGGTAATTCGTATGAAAAAATCAGAAGTTTCAGGTTACTTGTGATTTGACCTGACTTTGCCAAAATCTGTGCTTCTCTAGGGTCCTTTTGCTTGCTTGCTCTAAGATTTGACGTTATGAGGAAAGTGATACTTAGGCACTTTCTGTAATTCTCAGACTACTGAATCACTTTATATCAAACATATAATGTTTGATATTTATGTACAGACTTGGATAATGCATTGAGCTGCCTTCAGCGTGAAGATCCAAGTTTAAAAGTGAAGATAGATCCTGACACAGGACAAGTAAGATGAATCTTCTACTACTCCCCTTATAACCAAGTTTTGTTTTAGAACTGTCAAGTTAGTTCATCTGCATATTGAGATTTTCTTGAATAAAAAGGACTCTCTAAATGTTGTATATACAAAGTTCAGTGGGTGAAACTAAAATGGAGCCTTGTGCAGTTCTGCTTTACAGAATAGAGGAAGTCACCCTGTGCTCTGCATGTTTTTGACAGTTCTGTATTTAAAAAAGTTTGAATTACATAGTCTTTAAGATAATGTAAGATTACCTGTTTTTAGTGGTCACAGTAGTGGTGACTACACTTTCACGTGTGTTACTGTCAGATGACTTATATAGCAGTGTTTTCTCTCTAGGGTCCTTAGAATTTGAAGTATTGAAGGTTTTTGACAGTTCAAAGCATGCAAGTCTTTGCTTAAAGCATTTGTAATAAAACCTCTGAGTTTTGCATGTTTTTCCACTTTCTCTCAACTGTCTTCTCACCAGACTATCCTCTGTGGCATGGGAGAACTACACATAGAGATCATTCATGACCGAATCAAACGTGAATATGGAATTGAGACTTATTTGGGACCTCTTCAAATAGCATACCGAGAAACCATCTTAAGTGCTGCCCAAGTTACAGGTAAAATGAGTAAATGGAAGGAACATCTTGTTTCTGGATTTGTAACTTGATGTACTTTAAATGATATATGACTTACTTTCAGATTAATGTTATGTATTAGCATTTTTTTTCCAAATGGCTGTTACACTTTTTTTCCCTCCTCCTTGCAGATATATTGGACAAAACAGTAGGAGATAAACGACACTTTGTTACTGCAGAGTTAGAGGTGAGACCCAGGTCAGGGGACAGAGCAATGACAAAACCCATCATTGACTATGCTGAGAGTGTTATTGGAGAACTACCCAAAGAACTCCAAGGAGCTATAGAAAATGGAATCATGAATTCATGCATTCAAGGTAAAGGAAGTGCTATGACAGCTATACTAGTCTAATATTTTTATAAGAAGCAATTTAACAAGTTTCTAGAAGGAAACACTCCTTGGTAGCTTGAAAACTAAAAAGTAGTACATACTAACATGTAAGATGGAAAGGAAAATGATGAAATTTCCTTAACTACAAAAATTGCCGAACACTCTTCCCTATTTCAGGAATGGAAGTTAGCATCCTTTGGTTTGGTCTTCAGGTTGATTTCATTTCAGTCACTCTAAAGTGAGCTTGGAGTTCTGGTTTAATCTGCTGTTAAGAGAAAAGGTGTTTACTTCATGACAGAAATGGTTTCAGAGGCCAACATGTACACACCGCACTCTATTAGTGTTACTGATGCATTTTTTGCAAATACATAAAATCCATGAGTTTTCAGTAAAGCCTTACCTAACTGCAAAGTGAGGGCTTTCTCAAGGACTAAAAGTGTCCTTGACTTTTGACTAAAAATAGGAAGTATTTAATTACGTGTGGCCAAAGAGCTCTGTCTTACAATAAAATTAACAGGTAGTGGCTTGACAAATGAGAATTACTCTGTATGAAGTGTTTTTTCCATGTTGCTATGTGGAATTGGAAAGCATCTCCCGTCTCTGGCTGTGGAATGACTCTTAGCTGTGCGCTTTCTTCATGCTCCTTGAAGACACTTCAGAATTGTGCAGTCTCTGGCCTAAAATTGATGCCATTAAGTGCTTAAAAAAACCCCAAAAGATCTGGCCATGTTCTCTGTAAGAAAAAAGCAAGGTGTTTTTTCTCAGATGGCCTCACATCTAGTCTAATACAGTTTGGTTTGGTTGAGAGTCCTGGGCTGGAGGGAGATAATCTGTCTGAGATGCTAGATGTCATTAATCCTTTATGGAATTGAGTTAACCCTGGAGTTGTGGTGGTGGGTTGGTATCAGGCTTTGCTGTGATCATACTGTGTTGAAAAGGAAGATGTAGAAAATACTCTGGCTTCTGGTTTAACAAAAGGTTTCACTACTTTTTCAAGTGAGATCTTATTTCAATAGACAAGTTTTAGATACTACAGTGTATTTTTTAAAAGCTTCATTTTCGGGAACAGTTGTATGGATGAGCACACTCAGGAACTTACTGTTCTCAGAATTATCTATGTTTTTGATAAAGAGAGTAAGAAAGTATTCCTTTGTCTCTTTTGGCAAAGCTAGATAATGACAAAATCACAAAATGAGGAACACAACCAGTAGTCACATTCTTTCAGGGGTGGACAGGGATGGAGAGAGCAAAGAGGAAAGTGAGAAGCTTTAAATTAATCCTGAAAAATTTTTTGCATATCTCTTAATATTCTGAAAAACAAATCTGCTTTTTTCTTTCTGCTCTTCTACACTGGCCCACCCAGGACCTCTGCTTGGATTCCCAGTTCAGGATATAGATGTGACAGTGCAATCACTGACAGTGCATCCGGACACCTCCCACACAATGGTATCAGCCTGTGTCTCCCGTTGCATGCAAAAGGTACACTGAAACTGTAAGCTGCTGAAGAATACAGCAGCATGATATACTGCTGGGAAAATCTGTGTGTATCCGTATCTGGTACTTGATCTGCTCTGTCAGTGTAATGCCCTCGCTGAGAATTCTACAGCTTTTGAAGGTAGAGAATTTGAGAGACGGTGTTAGCTTTACGACAGAAGTACCTATAATGTCAATTTTATTTTAAACAAACAAACAAACCCCCAAAAATACATTGATGTAATGTCCCTTCCTTCCTTTTTGTGTAGGCCTTGAAAAAAGCTGGTATACAAATACTGGAGCCTGTGATGAACCTAGAAATCACAGTAAGTGAAGATCATCTCAGTGCAGCACTTTCTGATCTTGCACAGCGGAGAGGTAGTATTCAGGAAATCCAGAGTCGTCAAGATAACAGAGTTGTGGTTGCTGCTGTTCCACTAGCAGAAATGATGGTATGTGATTACCTTACTAATGATAAAACTAATTTTTTTATATGTTTCAAAAAATGGCTTCACTTTTTGTTACAGATAAGTTTAGAATGGATGGGGTTTTTTACTGTATTTTAATTATTGAAGGTCCAAAGGAAGTGCCCACAAATCTAGTAGTGTTCTTTTGCCCAATTCAGATTGTTAAACCAGCACATACTCAAGTGTAAGTCAAAGAAGTAGTAAGTACTGCTTGAACAGGTTTTACAGGGAATAGTTTTTTAAAAATATTATTATTGACTCATGCATGTTTTGCACTTTTAATGGAGTAATGTTAAAAAATTAACTTACTAGTATGTTGCAGTATACTTCTGACACTCTCTCTGTGTTAACTCATCTTTCCTTTATCCTAAACTGAGTGACACATCATCTCCATTTTGTCCAGGGCTACTCAACAGTTCTGCGTTCTTTAACATCAGGCTCAGCAACCTTCACATTGGAGCTTGCCAGTTATCAAGCCCTGAACAGTCAAGAGCAAAGTGCACTTCTTCAGAGGAGGATGGGGTTGGTGTGATCACTTCACTCTGTAGAACGGTGTTTTCTATTCTCCATGTTAAATATTTCCATATGTACACCAGTATGTTCACCTGGGACCAACTGGTGGTGGTAAATGACGAGTCAGCAGCCACATGAACAGACTGGGCTCTTAATTGTCCGCGGGGGAAAGTTCAAGAGCCTGTTCTAATGGCACAGCCTTGTAATTGCAAAGCAGGGATGGAACCACAAGGTGTTGCTTTGCAAATTTTTATCTTACAGATAAGATCCGTAAGGAGAATTGATGCACATCCTTTTCACAGAAATGAGGACTAAGTGCACGTTAGTGTGCCACGAAAACTGATTCTTAATTTAGTAAATAAAGTTTGTGAAGTTTATGTCTATCAGTGAAATAACTTTACAGCTTTGGCAGTCTGTGTCATCATTTGTTTTCAGCTGAACGAAAGTATATGGTTAATATGCACTTTAAACAGTACAACCTAAGTGTTACTTCTTGTACTGGTAGCAACTAGTTATGAAAGAGAGTTCAGAACTGGGTGTAACTTCTACCTGAGTAAGATCTGTGCAAAAAAAATACAAGAAAGAAAGAGTTCTTCCACGATGGTAATCCCATCCTGCAATATGATGACGGAGGATTTTTTTTTTACCTTTAGGAATGAGTGAATTAAGATATAATAGTCCTGATTTGCTATGAGTTGCAATTATCTGGTTACCTAGAAACCTGGCAAATGATAAAATACTTTGAAATAAAAAAGATAGTTTGCTCTTTATTTAAAAGGTGTCTTAGCTTTATTTTCTCAACTTAAGAATGTAAAGAAATTGGAATTAATAACTATGGTATCAAGTTTCAGGATTTCACAGTGAAGAATCCCAGTTTCTGAAACCCTAAAAACAACCATTTTTACTCCAACAAGGTTATCAAACAATTTTATTTTAAAAGTGAAAATTTTAAATCTTGATTCAAATACATATTCATACCCCAGAGGCACTTCAGGTTGTTGAGGAGAAGTCTTTGCAGCAGTTACGGCCGTCTCCCTTCATGGGCGCAGTATCCAACAAACACCGGTTCGGCTGCTATGCCACGGCTGTTAAAATAAAGTGGAATGTGTATGACTATAATCAAACAACTGGCTGTTTGTATAGGCAGGAAGAGAGATACTGGCACTCCATTCTATAAACAAAACTATGTCCAAGAAATAACAGATGTCGTCTCTAGGGAGTGAAAAGGGGCCCTATTCTACTTCTAATTGTACTTCAGTTCTCTGTTTCAATCAGAGCTACCGAGCTATTAGCAAACATGTTGAAAAGCTTAAATTCAGGACCCAGTTGTCTTGATGTTATGCAAAATTTACAGCTTTTATTGAAAAGAAGTTATAAGAACATGCAAATATAAATCAATTCACATTTGCACACTCTCCCTGCTCCCAACCCTCATGTTTCCTCCATATGCAGCTCTAATTATGTAATTTTCATTCATATTTGGGGGGAGCCAAGATTTCTTCCAGCTTACACTATCATAAATTAGTCTGTTCTCATGTGGCTTTAAAAACAAACTAACCAAGCCCTTGTAGTTTATGATGGTACAGTAAGATAGTATAAAAAAAATTTTCAGAGTTAAAGAAGTTGTAGTCAAAATTGTGCTTCTTGAATATTTAAGGACTAGATACTACTGCTACTAGTGTTTAAAAGTGCTGCAGTGGAAGAAACTGAATAATGGATTACCTCAGCTGAACTATTGCTGCACCTAAGCAAGTCCTACTCTACTTAGTAAAGATAGGGCTGGTGTCTAGGCCTCTAGAATAGATGCCCACCTTTTTGTTTCCTTTCTCCCATTATCATTTCAGTTTGGGCTGCTGTGTCCTAGGGGAGGTTGAATTTAGATCTGAATAGTAGCTACTGCTTTCACTGTATTATTTCAAGAGCAGTGGCCTCAACCTTCAATAGGCAGAGTTATTCTTCCAGTGACCACAACCGAGCTGTTACAAAGTCCTACCCACCCATTCCCTTACTTCCTCATAACCAGCTGCAGAGTAAGCCAGAGCTGTTCATTCTGCTTGGAAAGTCTCCTTGGCCTTCTACAATTGCCATGGTCTATGTATACACCATATATAAAAACATAAGTAGGAACACAATCCTTTTCCCACACACTAAGACTACAATAGCCTGATATTAAATCATCTCTTTGAGTTTGCACAATTCTAAGGAGGCTGTGTATACATGAAAGGCAACAGAAGTGCAGCTCTAAGGAATGCTCATTTCATCACCGGAAAGGGGATGGTTTCTCTAGTGTATTTCTTGTTCAAAACCTGTATCAAAAGAATAATTTTCAGGAGGACATGTCCTTTTATTAAGGTAGTCAGTTTCTAACAGGAATAGTTCACCCTAAGGCAGCAAAGCAGTTTTTCTTTAAACTAGTTTCTGGTGCTAAAATGTGCAGTAAGTACAGGGAGTAGTGCTTAGTCTGCCCCTGCATCTCTCATGCCAGCACCATGAGAGCAGCTGTCATCAGCCAGCCAGCACCCTATACAGCAATACAAGTACCAGTGTTAAGGAAGAAGATGGAGATGCAGCATTAGAGTTAACCAGGTCCAGGACTAACATGGCTTAGTTCACTGTAAAACCCTAATCCTAGTGGTACAGCCACTGTTCACTTCACTGTTCAGTTGTATTCGTGTTTTCCCTAAGCCCCATCAAGAGATGCACCATCCTGTTAAGTAATAGGGCATAAGTTTTTAAAGCCCTTTAATCTTGTTTTTAACATGTATTTGGTAACTCCCTCAATGTATCTATTTTTCTCATGACCGAGAAAGATAGCACAATTTACACATAGCTAGTTTCCTAAGCATTATTTTAAGCCAGCTTGAAATAAACCCAACAAATCAAAACTTACAAGTCCTTCAGCCACTCACTAGCTCTTAAGGAGCTAGTGTGTACTGTAAGCTAAATGCCAGTGATTCAAAGAGATAATCATTTTAAGACACCTACAGGAATACAAGCAGGGTGCTTCAGTTTTAAGTGCTGACTATAACTGCTTTTGTATCCTGTTCTCTAAAAGGCTGATTTCTTTCTGCCTTGAAATACTTCCACACAGTGTTGAGATTTTCAATAATTGTCATAAACTTTTGTAGAGAAATAAAATGGCATGTTTCAGTCTTGCTGCAGTCCAACTATGCACCAGCGTTTGGGAAAACCTAAATGTTAGTTGTGAAACTGTCTAGAACTCCTATCTTAATGCATCTTTCTTCCTCTTCTGTGGATACAAACCACACTACCTCTCTTCCCTTCATTTCCAGGTCAGCACTTTAGGTCTGTACTTCTGTTCCACTGGTTATAAGACATGAGAACCAAGATACACTGTAGCCACTAAATCTTACCGGAGCATGCGGCAGCGATGATTCCTCAGCCTTCTATAGGCATCTTGCAAGTCGGTCACATTCCTGCTGCTCCAGAGTCTTTCTCCTACAGCACTTGCTCGAGGCCTGTAAAGGTATACTAAGTTTTAGAGTAGGTGTGGTCTATAACCAAGAATAGATAAAATTTTTTTATAGCTGCTCAGGTTCAGCACAGAGCACTGTCACCACTATCATACAGTCTTCTTGGATTAATTAAGATCCTCGCAGCTGGCTTTTGAAAACCTAATGATAAAGCAGTTCATACCATAATCTTGGTGTCAGGTTAGTTGCATCCACAAATTCCCCCCACAGGCAGGCTTCTCCACCTATTAAAAGTTTCTTCTGTTCTTCAGATCCTGAATTCAAAGCAAAAGGTCAGAATTTTTATTTTTCCAGAAGATGAAAATATATCAAAAATTTAATTTTCTAATACTTAGAGAGGATTGATGTTCAGTTGTTTGTTTGGTCATATAAAACTATTCTGAGCACTAACTTAACATTTTAGTAGTCTTGTTACTGAATGTGAGAACCACCAGGCTGTTTGCCCAGAGAAGCCACTTCTCCTCTCTTTCAGAAAGTATTTTACCTTTTATCCCCTGAAGACATTCCTCAGCCTCCTGACATTCCTCAGGGATATCAGTCCTGATGGAAACTGTTCATTCTATCACATGCAGAACATTCCTTGAAAAAACCACTTAGTCAGGTGTTCCTCCTAATCAGCTCTGAGACCTACCTTGCACAAAATAAAAGCCCCATGGAAAGCATAACATGTTTGAATCAGCTTTAGACAGAAGGAGAGGACATGTCTTCTATAAAACAGTTTCACACTCTAGAAGCTTGCTAACATATGTCTACCAGCAGCCATTCTGCACAACTCCGCACCTGAAGTATGAGGCACCTGCCCACCTTGTCCATCATTCTGTCTCACACAAGCACCAGTATCAGATCCTGAGGAAGGTAACACCTTTCCCTGTGAGAAGTGCAAAGTTCCCTTTTTTTTTTAAATTTAAGAATTTTCCAGAGTTCTAGTTGACATTAAATTCCTTTGGTTACACTATAATCACAGTGATGGAATGACCCCTCTAAACAGCCTTATTCTTTCCATTTACACCTTACTATAAACCAAAAAATTTCATGCACAGAACGTGCATATAAAAAAAGTAACAAACCAGGGAAGTCAAGTGGTTCAACACGGTAGTATTTCTTCCAGTCTTGCCCATAACTGATGTAGTCCAAGTACCAGGGTGCAGCCAGGACAGCGGGGAACCCAGCTCCAGTGACACTGCTCAGTTCATGAGCATAGCTGTTTGCCATCCACACTTGAACTACAGTGTCTGGTTTCAGCTGAAAGGGGGTAAGACAGAACAAACAACCCCGATCGCCCCCCATAAAAAAATAGCCATTAATGACAATCCTAATTGCTGTTATCAGGAAAAAAGGATCATGAATTTCAAAACTGGCTATTTCGTTTTGAAGAGGAACATTTTGGAAGCTACCTGTGGTCATCTCCCCCAAAGTCTAAAGCTAATTATCTCTTTGTTGGTTTTAAACACAGCTCTTTTGAGTGAAGCCTAGGTTATACTACAGACAGTTAATGCTCTAAGAGGATTCCTACATGCACCCCATATCTGACCAGCTCTTAAAAGCCAAGCATCTGGTGTTACTAGATCAGACACACAGTTGTGTGAGGGGGAAAAAAAAAAAGGAAACTCCTAGAAACTTCCCTACCCTTTACTCGGATGCTTTAAAACATATTATATTAACTGCGTTCACCTTCAGAAAGAACTTCAATGCTGGTGTTCCTGTCCCACCTATTTTACATGGTCAGCAAATGGTAATGTCAAGGGAGGCCTCACACCTGGGGAGACTTGCTAATGTCAGAAGACTTGCTTTAACTTTTAAGAAACACAAACAGACCTACTTAGTAGCCTACTTTGGAAGCCTCCCACAATATTGTGCTGTTATACAAAAGTATCTTAT